AAATTCTGTGACAGATTTTTGGTCAAGTTGTTTCCATTAAAAAGTACTGAGTTTAAAAACTAATAACTTAAAACTGCCACACACAAAACAAATGGTCCACAACACATTCTCCTTTCCTTCTGAAGGTTTTATGATGCATTGTTATCATTAACCAGTCTTTTGCTATTAAACTTAAATGGCTAATTGGACAAAGTTCTGGGGCCATTCTTCCACCACTGATTAAGACTGGGGTGGCAGGTATTGGGGATAACACTCATTTAGCCCTCTGAGCTTTCTGTGCAGACTTGGTGACCTTGCCAGCTCCAGCTGCCTTCTTGTCCACTGCTTTGATGACACCCACAGCAACCGTCTGTCTCATGTCACGAACAGCAAAGTGGCCCAGAGGAGGATAGTCAGAGAAGCTCTCAACACACATGGGTTTGCCAGGAACCATATCAACGATGGCAGCATCACCAGATTTCAAGAATTTGGGGCCATCTTCCAGCTTTTTCCCAGAACGACGATCAATCTTCTCCTTCAGCTCAGCAAACTTGCAGGCAATGTGAGCTATGTGACAATCCAGCACAGGTGCACAGCCAACACTGGTTTGGCCTGGATGGTTCAAGATAATCACCTAAGATGTGAAGCCAGCTGCTTCCATTTGTGGGTCATTTTTGCTCTCACCAGCCACATTGCCATGACGAACACCTTTGACAGACACGTTCTTGACATTGAAGCCCACATTGTCCCCAGGAAGGGCTTCACTCAAAGCTTCATGGTGCATTTCAACAGATTTCACTTCAGTTGTCACATTGACTGGAGCAAAGGTGACCACCAGGCCAGGTTTGAGAACACCAGTCTCCACTCGACCCACAGGGACAGTGCCAATACCACCAATTTTGTAGATGACCTGGAGGGGCAAACGCAAGGGTTTGTCAGTTGGGCGAGTTGGTGGCAGGACGCAATCTAGAGCTTCAAGCAGTGTGGTTCCACTGGCACTGCCATCCTTACAGGTGACTTTCTCTCCCTTGAACCACAGCATGTTAGCACTTGGCTCCAGCATGTTTTCATCATTCCAGCCAGAAACTGGCACAAATGCTGCTGTGTTGGGATTGTAGCCAATTTTCTTAATGTAGGTGCTGACTTCCTTTACAATTTCCTCGTATCTCTTCTGGCTGTATGGTGGCTCGGTGGAATCCATTTTGTTAACTCCAACAATTAGTTGTTTCACACCCAGAGTGTAGGCCAGAAGGGCATGCTCACAGGTCTGCCCATTCTTGGAAATACCTGCTTCAAATTCACCAACACCAGCAGCAACAATCAGGACAGCACAGTCAGCCTGGGATGTACCTGTAATCATGTTTTTGATGAAGTCTCTGTGTCCTGGGGCATCAATGATGGTCACATAGTACTTGCTGGTCTCGAATTTCCATAGGGATATATCAATGGTGATACCACACTCGCGTTCAGCTTTCAGTTTGTCCAAGACCCAGGCATACTTGAAGGAGCGCTTCCCCATCTCGGCAGCCTCCTTCTCGAACTTTTCAATGGTTCTCTTGTCGATCCCACAACATTTGTAGCTCAGATGGCCAGTAGTGGTGGACTTCCCGGAATCTACGTGTCCGATGACAACGATGTTGATGTGCGTCTTCTCCTTTCCCATTTTTGCTTAGGTTTAGCGGTGGTTTTCACGACACCTGTATCCCGGCGGCAAACCCGTTGCGAAAAAAGCCATCAGTGTCTATTTATTCTATGTTTAACGTGTCCTATAGGTTAAAGATGTACTTACTATGTATTCTTAACATTTCCTATGAATTTCATCCATCCCATTGTTCTTTAAAGCAGAGTCTAAAATTCTTAAAGCAGAATCTAAAATTCTTAAAGCATACAGAAAACACTTATTCTGTTATGAATGAAGCACATTTCTGAGGTACAGGGCCATTAAACCACTTGCCTAAGATCCTCACATTTAGTGCATGGCAGAAACAGGGTTTCAAATATAGGAAATCTAGCTCTAGAGCCCACTTTTTAATCACCATCCTATCTTGATTCCTAATTTGCCTGAGAAAACACAGCTAGCAAGTCTAATCACAAGCCCAATGCTCTTTCCTGTAACTACTCTTCATGTATAAGTACCCTTGGGGCAGATCTGTCTTTTTCTTCTCTGCATTCTTATCACCAAGCATAGGAGCTGTTGATCAAGAGAATACCTCATGTTACATTTCTATTTTTAAGTTTAAATGGCCTGAGTGATTCCAATTTAACATTCAAGAAAATTTAACCTTTTGTATTTAAAGTTACAGTCTTCCGTATCTGATTTTAAATGGAATTAACCTAAAGAGATCCAGTTGCTAGAAAGCAAAAGATAAGGATCCATGAACTGAGATCTAGCTCTGATTGTGAAATTGACCCGTTCAAAGAGGTTAAGTTGTTTCTCTATGCTTCATTTTCTCCAGTAGGAAAATAGCCCTAGTAATTCTTATCCACCCCCTTCACCAGGAACTGTTACATCTACTATTTTTCCTATCACTAGAATGTCATTAAAAAAAATAATGGTTGGGAATTCCCTGGAGGTCCAGTGGTTAGGACTCCACGCTCTCACTGCTGAGGTCTCAGGTTCAGTCCCTGGTCAGGGAACTAAGATACCACAAGCCGCGTGGCATGGCCAAAAAAAACAAAAAGGTTTCTGCATTATGGATTAGTAATTATAAAATATGTAACAAAATCTATCTATATATTCATAAAATTAACTATACACATATTAACAAGATTAAAAAAACAAATCTTTATAACCTTTTAAAGTAACATTTTATGCCACATTTGGACATGCTTAACAATCTGCAATGTGCTAAGATTCTACAGTTTTTCTCGTCCACTTGACTTTTCTGAAAGAAAAAAAATTAACAGCCTTCTGGAAGAAGCTAAGATGAATTACATGTTCTTAAAATTATATATATATATATATATATATATATACACACACACACACATTTTTTTCTCTAGGAAGTTGACGATAATCACAATGTATACAAAACCATTTAGAACTCAGCACAGAGGTTGTTTAACCCTGGCTGCCCATTAGAATTACATGGGAAACAAAAACAAAACAAAACAAAAAAACCAATGCTCCAGCCCCACATCAAACCATTTAAGTCAAACTCTCTAGGAATGGAATGTGAGCAGCTGTATTTTCAAAAGCACCACAGACATTCTACTAAATACTTGACCAGCCCTCTTCAAAACTGTCAAGTCATCATAAACAAGAAAAGCCTGAGAAACTGTCACAGACCAGAGGAGGCAAAGGAGACATTGATGACTAAACGTAATATGGTATCCAAAGTGGGATCCTGGAATAGAAAAAGGGTATTAGGGGAAAACTACGGAAATCTGAATAAATTGTGGAGTTAATAGTAATATACCAATGTAGTTTCCTTTGTTGTGACATATGTACTGTAGTAATGTTGTTAACAATGGGAAACTGGGTGGGGAGTAGATGGGAACTCTCTGTACTATCTTTCTAACTTTTCCATAAATCTAAATATCTTCTAAAATAGTTTACTTAAAAAAATCTATCTAATATGGAACCAGGGTTGAGAATCACTTACATAGATTCCACTTACATTTTACCAGAAAACAAAAGGACCCTGTGAAATATCGAGCCCAAGTGCCAGTTCCAGCATGTATGGTCCTAAAGTCCTGACCCCTAGAAACAGTGGGCTGCTGCATTAGAACCGGTTACATTTCTAGAGGCACCTCCAGGGAAGCACAAATGGACTAATTGTAATAAACATAACTGGAATAATCACAATCCTGATAATTAATTGCTTCCAAGATACAAAAATTCAAGAATGACTGCTTAGTAAAGGAGAAAAAACTACTCACAACCCATTTTTTATTTTAGAAAGCTTTCATTTTGATATATATGAGACGTATATATATCTGGATTCAATATAATGTCTTCATTATGGTACCTTAGTGGTTTGAGAAAATTACGAGTGATTTATCTTTACTAAGAGCTGTTAGTTCGCTTCTTATCTGTAAAGGAGATTTAGAACTGATCAGAAAGTTCTTCAATATCGAGTTAACTTTTCCTCTCCTGTCTCTCTCACTGTGGTAGGAAGAAGGCAAGGAAAAAATATCCCCTAGTCCTCCATAATGAAGTCAACCTGGACTTAGCTTGGTCACACTTCTCTTTTCCTAACCATAAAAGATATTTGTCATCTGTGTAAATCTCTAGAGGAAAGTCAGAATTGTACCTGAAGAAATCACCCTGCACAAGTAAACATTTGACAAACAACAAGTACGTGGAGATGGTGTTTCAAAACCTCCTTAAAGATTTTTTTTCGTACATTATTTTGTTTGGCAAAAATGTCACCGATTTATAATCCAGAACCCCTAGGCATCGTGGAATTAACAAATGGTATTAACAGTTTGTAGTCATCTGGGTTACAATCCAGCTCCCTAACTCCACGCCACACTAGCTTAATAATTTCTCTGAGCTCATCTCAGTTTCTTATCTGTAAAACGAACGGTTTGGACTAAGCAATCCTCAATGTACCTTTTCATTCGGACACCGAGATTGGGTAAGAGGGATTTAGAAAAACAGACTGGGAGTTTTAGGATTTAGGTCTCTGGGTTCTGGTGGGCGAGATGGTATTGGAGAAACTGTTCTCATGTTTGTGTTTTTAAAGTCGGAGGGATAAGTGATAGGGGTAAGAATGCCTGAAGAGTAAGAGTATGACAACGACCGGCCGTACGTTCAACTCTCGGGATTTTTCTGGGACTGGCAGAGCATGCGGAGAGTTCGGTTGCCAGGCAACTGGTCCTCCTCTGGGTGGGTGGAGGACCCCAGTTGCAGGTGTCTAAGTCACTGCCTCTTACTTTAGCCACGGTTCCTTCTTCTAGAAAATTAATGAAATATGTAGTCTTTAAAAGTATATGATTTTTAAAGCCAAGGTTTGGCAGTGCTATAGCTGAGTTCTACTCGAGGGGGGTTTTCTTTTTCCTATTCTCAGGCGCGACGCGGGGCGCCTCTCTGGCAAGGCCCCTGCCCCCGCGCGTTGCCGGGCAGGGCTGGACGCCGCCTGCTCCTCGCCCCCCGCCCTCCCTGAGCCGGGCCCTGGTCTTTCTCGGAGCCGCCATGGGCTCGGAGATGGATCCGCTGCTCCTGGCCTGGAGCTATTTTAGGCGCAGGAAGTTCCAGCTCTGCGCCGACCTGTGCACGCAGATGCTGGAGAAGTCCCCTTATGACCAGGTACAGGCCGGACCCCGTCAGCCCTGTGGATCCCGGCAATAAGGCTGAGGGCTCTGGGGGATTCCCAGGTCCCCGGGAGGGGTCTCCAGGGAAGAAGGCGCAGGGCGAGGTTGACCTTGTGGTCAGCACAGGCACCTGGAGCGAGACCCCCTGGAGCCTTGGCCGGTGGGTCCTTGCCCGCGGGACCCACGAGTGCTGTGCCACGACCGCCCCCTCCTCAAACTTAAGCAGCCCCTTTCCTTCAGACGTCGCTTAAAGGAACAATTTGGTGACGAACTTTGTTAGTTCCTTTATACTTGCATGTGGATGGGCTCTTAAGCTCGCTGCACGTACGGTATTGATTTCTAAAACCATTATGTATAAACATAAAGATCTGTAACTTCCCACTCCCTGTTGAAATAGCTGCCTTTTTTTCTTTTGATCAAACGTGTAATCCTTCTGCTTCATCTTAAGACTGTTGTCCAAGAGTGGGGAACCTTCGATGCTGGGGCTTGAGTGCAACTTGAGGCAAATAATGCAAATTAGAGGAATGAGAATCTAGGAGAGGATAAGATACATTCATTATTAGGAGGGAGGGATGGGAAAAAAGTTCCTGTAAAAGAAGGAAAGATGGCATTGATTATAGTAGTTTATTTAGGGTTTCTTAAATAAAGTATAATATTAAGTAAAGTGAGTGAAAAGGCTTTTATGCTAGGTATAAGAGAGGTACAACTCTGGGGGTCAGGTAGTTCCTGGAAGAGACAAAAAAGGAGAAAGAGGGAGAGCAGAACTCTGGTAGCTTGTGAGTACGTCTATTAAATGCAGAACGTACCCATGTAGTTATAGTTTCCCAGCTTTTCCTCTAGTGGTGTTGCCTTGGAGATGTTAGGAAAAAAAAGGAAAATTGAGGGGGAGTTCCGTAAACTGAGGCGTGAAAACTGTCACTAGGCTCTGCCTTAGTGCCCAGCAAATGGATTGAGGATAACCTATTAAAGTGAATCTTTTGGCCTTCGGATAGATAGCACATCTCCCACAGAGCAATCTGTGTTAGTAGGAATGCTAAACTAGGTTGTGCTTGTGTTAGGTCACATTGGTTAATAGGACTGCATTTCCATAGACAAGCACGCTTCCAGATATGTTTCCTGGCATTGTAGTCCCACAAATGCTGCTTAAAAAAAAAAAAGGATTTCACCCTCAAATATGTTTGGGAACCACGACAAAATATGGACCCCTTTACATTTGTACAACCAAAGTTTGTTACAAACTAGTGATGTACCAGACATTGTTCTATTTTTCCATTGAGTTAGGATAGTTTCCATTCTGTGTTCCAAAGAACAACAGTCCCAAGAGTGCTCAGTGAAAGAAAGTTTCCTCATTAAATGCATTTGGGAAATGTATATTCCCTACTTAGAGATTCGTACTAAGGGTTCTGAGGAGTTCTGCAGAAAGAAACTTTGCCTAATTTTGATGAATACAATAGTTCTGAAACTTATTTGATCACTGATTCCTTTTTTGGCAGTGGGCGAGGCTCAGATATCTTTGTTGTTATCATCCTAGGGAGATGTTGTCACATTAGGAAATGTGTTATAGGCAAAGCAGCAGTGTTTTTATTAATGGTTAAGACCTTATAATCTTTTTTAAACCATTTTTAACCATTGAAGTATAGTTAATTTACAATGTTGTATTAGTTTCAGGTGTACAGCAAAGCAATTCAGTTATACATACATATATTCTTTTTCAGGTTTTCTATTATAGGTTATTACAAGATATTGAATATAGTTCCCTGTGCTATACAGTAGGTCCTTGTTGGTTATCTATTTTATATATAGTAGTGTGTATATGTTAATCCCAAACTGCTAATCTATCCACCACCACCACCCCCCGCACCCTGCTATCCCCTTTGGTAACCATAGTTTGTTTTCCGTGTCTCTAATCTTAATGATGTAATCATAGTGACATTCAGTACTGCAATTCAGGTTTAGTTTGTGCTAGACACTGTGATCAGGACTTTACAGTGTTCAATGACCTTTTATTGAGTGCTTACTACTTGCCAGGGATATATTCTATAAATTATGTGTATTTCTTTGCTTAGAATAACCTTGCAAAGTATGTAACAAAGATAATAGGTAACATTTATTGAGTATTTACTCTGTGTCAGGCTTGATTCAGAGGGTTTTATATGTTATCTCATTTAATCCTCAGCTATTTTAGGAAGTTGGTACTATTTCCCCCATTTTACAGATAGAGCACACTGAGGCACATGGTGAAGTAATTTGTCCAAAGGTACAAAGCTGGTAAGCCCATTCCCTTTGTCTATCCTGTGCTGCTTCTTTGGTGCTTATGTAGCCTAATTTTTCAAAACTCTGTGTTTCTGAACTTTTTCCAGTACATTTTCCCATGTGCTGTTCCTTTTTCAAGATTTTTAGCTAAATGGGAATTTGACATATCTGTGTACTTGGATTAAAGGCTCTGAGAAGTCCTGAAGGAAGGTAACCTGCCTAATTTTGATTAAGACAGTATTCTGAAACTTACTCGACCACTGACTGATTCCTTTTTTGGGGGAGAGGTACAAATTTATCCTGGGGAGATGTTGTCACTTTGGGAACTGCATAGGCAAAGCATCAGCATTTCTATTAATGGTTAAGAAGGAGCTGTAGCGGAGATCTTGACCCCTTTCCTTGTACCTAGGGAGAACAGGGTGAACAAATTAAGAACTTCATTTAAAGTCTCCAAAATTAACAGCTAAACAAGGCAGTAACTTGGATCTTTTTATTTGGCCTCTTATATCGTTCCCTTTAGGCCTTGCTGGCCCTCTTGGAAACTTAAGACTTGTTACAAGGAATGGTTAGTGGATCTTATTTTGATAATGGTAGTGAAGAATAAAAGATACAGGATCATATTGGGAAATATTGCTGTTGTCATTGGTTAACCATCTGACATGGTTAAGATCATTATGGCAACAGATCTTGTTAAGTCCTGGCCTCTTCCACTGTCCTATTTATTGTGGATTTGAAATAATACTTCGTAATGTGATACATAATTAATTTTAATATCCTAGAAATGTTTTTTTAAATGTAATTCTTTGTTACTGTTTTATTGTTATAAGCAGGGGTTGATATGTTTAGCTCCTACAAGTACCAAAGGCTGCCGAGGAGAATCTACCAGATCTAGAAGAAATTTATGACATTTTTTCCCTTTCTAATCCTTTTTATTTGTTATGCTGAGATAGTTTATTTAAGAAGGAACTATATATAATCTCAGAATGACGAGTAGCACTTCACCAGGAACATAAGTTTTGTTTTTGTTTTGTTTTGTTTTTTGCGGTACGCGGGCCTCTCACTTTTGTGGCCTCTCCCGTTGCGGAGCACAGGCTCCCGATGCGCAGGCTCAGCGGCCATGGCTCATGGGCCCAGCCTTTCCGCGGCATGTGGGATCTTCCTGGACTGAAGCACGAACCCGTGTCCCCTGTATTGGCAGGCGGACTCTCAACCACTGTGCCACCAGGGGAGCCCGGAACAGAAGTTTTAACTTGATGTTACCTTGCCAAACCGGCCTTTGGTTTCCTGGTTAGGGCCTCTGAAAAGTTTACATGGCTCACTCCTATTAGTTATTCTTTGATCCAGCCTTTAAACACTGCGCTTTTTCTCTGTATGCTTCTCTTAGCACCAATTTGTGCATTTTGTATCCAATTGTTATTTCATTTTGGAAATATTTTCCATTATGATTTCCCCAAGCTTAAAGCAATCCTGCTTTTTTCTTAATTAATTAAAAAGAATTTCAATATTTATGTTAGAGTGCTGATGCATTTAATGAGGAGCTTCAGGAAGCTTTAGGAGGTTCCTTTGATTAAAAGCTTGAAAATTCTCATTCTTTCTCTTAGAATATGAGTCCAGGATGGCAGATCTGTATGGAATGGCACAGAATCTGGCACACAGGTGCCGTCATTATGTATTTTGCTGAATGAGTGCCTTGATCGTATTCATATATGCATCTGGATGGTGTTATTTATGTGTGCCAGCTTCCACTCTGTTTATGGAGATCACCCTAATTGCCTGGTGGTCTTTGCTTCTCCCTGCCCCCCATCCTAATTCTCAGCACCATAGGTTCTTACATGTATTCACCTTTTCATACACATGTAATCGCATTATGGACATTCTTAATTCATTTCTTATCTCGAGGGTCAGTTTTTTTTTTTTTTTAATCAGTTGAGCAAATTCTTCCTGGATCCCTCCAGGAGAGTGTTTCTGATAGTCATTATCATCATTGGTATTTCTTCACAACGCTCTTGTTTCAGTGGAGGAAGTTAAATGGAGAGACTAGCAATCTATGAAAAGCTAACGGTAATGTGATCAGAGCAGAGGCAGATGACTCTCAGCCCCTGCGGTTTCCCTGGTTTATCTTCATGTACCCCTTTAGCCTCATGGGCTTTTCTTTGAGGCTTCTACATTTTAAAGTAGAATATTTTTCCTCTGCAGCTTCTTGAATTACCATTCCTGTGTCACGCAACTGATTTGATTACAAATGAGTGACTTTGAAGCAGTGCCTGGACACATGGAAGAGAAAGGAAATTAAAATATTTCTCCTGAGTGCCAAATGGATTCATTTTTGCTCTTGCTTTTTTTTTTTCTAGAACAAAAATAGCTTTTGTTTTTTATGTTAATATTCACTTTGGGTTTTGCTTATTTTTCTCCCAGATGAGGAGAACCTCTCTAAAGTGATTTGCTATTTGCTAATCTTTTTATAACCTGGTCCAGGGAGCTTCAAAAAGACGTTTTGGTGGTGATACATCAACCTTTTGGAATGAAGCCCACCTCTAAGACTATTTCTTCTACATTTAGTTCTCCTTTAAGAGATACCATTTTGGTATAGTATCATCAAAAATATTTAATTAGTGCCTTGTATTTTCTATTAGGACATGTGGATTTTATTTAGTTTTGATTCTTGCCAAAGTCAGAGTAGTCAGGTTGGCTGGAGAGGTATGATATACTGTGGACCAGCTTGTTTCCTTAGAGTTACACAATTTTATTTGGATACAGGAGGACTGAAGGGTAGGTTGAAGGTAATAACATGATGTTTGGGAAGGGTTCCTGAAAAAGATGGATTCTGAACTGCTTTTCCCAGATGCAGAATGGTGTGAAACAGAGGGCAGGGTCTGTAAGCATGAAGGACATTAAAGTTCTGATCAGTTAAGAATAAAGAAGGATAACTGGTTAATTCATCATCGTAGTTTCCCCATTTGACAAAAGACAGTAGGAACAATCAATTCATAGAGAAGTGCTATCTTTTGTCAAAGTTTTCTCTAAATCGTGACTAGAAAAGTGGTTAAAAGTTATAAGGCATAAAAGAGAGAAATGCAAAATGGCCTTCCATGCAGCAACATGACCTAGAGGGAATGCTTGCTTTTACGGCTCATGTCGGTCATCCTGATTAGTTGCTTAATCTGATTACTGTTCTTTGTGTTCCATATGTCAGATTCATGGCTTTAAAAGCAGCCCTGATTTTAGCTCCAGTATAATTCAACAGTTCATAAAACATAGAGGTAGTCGTTGATTTTTTTTAAATATACTTTTCTTAATGAGGTAGATTTCTGATAGATTTTTAAATTGTTAAAATCTGTGATTCTGGGAGTGGGAGGGTTAGCTGTTTATCAGAATGGGGGTAATTCACATTTTTCTTGCCACCCGCAATCTCTGCTTATAATGAGAGAGGAGGGGGTTATTACTGTCAATGGTTTGAAGGTGGAGAAAAGGCTGAAAGCCACTGGCTTAGATGAAAGGTCGAGAAGCAGGGGTCCCCAGTGAGCTGTACGTTAGTAGCTGGTTGAGACAATGATCTGGTGATCCAAGCCAAATAAACATCTTTCTGAATGATTATCTAATTTATTTCCTCATTGGGGCCATGGAGACTTATAACCAGGCATTCTTTTGATTCTGTACTCTGCAGAGCAGTTCATGTTGCTGAATTTTACAGATTGCATTCCCACTTGGCTCCTTGGTCACTAGATTTCCCTAAACCTTCTGAAATCCATTCATTTCTCTGTTCTCTTACATTCTTTTCCTTCCTGTTTTTGCTAAATTCTGAATAATGACTCTGTAGTTTAAGAGCAGAGTTGGGCAGACTCATTAGCCAGAGTAAGTATTGGTGGCAATTTGGAAGTTGCATTCAGAATCATCTGGAGATTTAATTCCCTAAAGTAATAGCAACAATCTAAGAGAAAAAGCTATACCCTAGGGAGGAAGGAAGGAAGCAAACTACTGTGAATTGAAGTTTATGCTGGTGAGTTTTTGCTGGTTCTAGGCAGTGCCACTCTACTTTCCCTGTCTTCTTACTTTCACGGAGATTCAAAGGGAAGTTTTAATTTGATGTGCCATAACTGGGAGTCAGTTCTGAGTTCTGAAAAAGGAAGTAATAGAGAGTTGGGTGCTTTTCTGTTCATTATGTACATGTATTTATAAAGAAATTCTGTGTGGTTAATACTTCTTGTTGAAACTACTACCACCTTATACTTCATGAACTACTGTGGTATAAGAACTCTGAAAATTATGAAATAATCTTCAAGGTTTTATTTTTAAAGCTATCCTATAAAGTAGGCACTAGCTCTAATTTGAGAGGAGGACTGGGTAATGGAGGTTGTTCAAGGTCATGCAGCTAAGTGGCTCCCTGTGGATCAAGCCCAGGTTTTCTGACTCTAGGCCTGGGCCTGATGCTTTCTACTCAAACTATGCTGATAATACCCATGGAAATAATTTGCTAGACCAAGTGAACCTAACTTGTGGTTTCCTGTATATGTGGATTAATTTAAATCATAAAAACTATAATTGAGAGAGACCCAGATGAAGGTCTTAGTGATTTAAAAATTAACTCACTAAATTTGGGCTTCCCTGGTGGTGCAGTGGTTGAGAGTCCGCCTGCCGATGCAGGGGACGTGGGTTCGTGCCCCGGTCCGGGAAGATCCCACATGCCACGGAGCAGCTGGGCCCGTGAGCCATGGCCACTGAGCCGGCACGTCTGGAGCCTGTGCTCCGCAACGGGAGAGGCCACAACAGTGAGAGGCCCGCGTACCGCAAAACAAAACAAAACAAAACAAAATCACTAAATTTGCCCTGTCTCTAAATTAAAATATCCTGACTCTTTCCTCCATCGTTCTGCTGCTCCTGGTGGATCTCCAGACCAGCCATACCTGGCCTTGGTCTTCCCACACTCTACAGTAGTCTGCGTTCCGGCCTTGCTATGGTCTCATATGTAAAGCAAAGTGCATGCTCTTGACTGAGAGTGTCTAGGTTCAAATACTGCCTGCACACTTTGACCTCAGAATTATCCGTAAAATGGCCATGATAACATACCTACCTCAAAGGGTTGTTGTGAGGGTTAAGTTCATTAACACATGCTAAGTGATCAAAAAAGTGAGCTGCTATTATCTCTAGTTAGCTAGAGATATTTGCAGGTGGAATTCTGTCATATTTTTCTGAAAGGATTGCTGGTAATCTGGAGAGCATCTGTGAGGAAAGTGTCCAGTGAAATTGATGATAAAATGATGTTGAATATAGTTCATAGATCATTGGTACACAATCATTTCCAGAATAATCTCTCTTTTTACCCCGACTTCCTTATCTCTTATGTTCTGCTTTTCTGTCCTCCATCTAAGTCATCTGTGATTGGTCCATGCTTGAGTATGGCATTTAACACATTGTACTGTAATTTATTTAATTATGTGCCTTCCCACATAGAATGTTTTCAGCGCCTCTCGGGGTTCCAGGGATGTCAGGAGAATGTTGTGGAATTAACGTATTCTCTGCCTACTCGTGGTTAAGCCTTGCCTCCATCTTCCATCCATACCACCTCACCGGTCTCTACACCTTTCCATCCTCTCGCTTCTCATTTTCTTCTCATTTCACATCAGGTCCCTAATGTTCTTTACCTGCCTGGTAAGTCGTAAGTGCGATCCTGCGGAGCAGGACGAGACACAGAGAGCATGAAGGCGTTCGTTGGTGAACAGAGCACTCTGAGGCTGAGCTGCTGGGGTCAGTTTGGGCCACTGGAGGAATCTCCCTGCAGACTAACAAGCGTCCAGCATTTACTTACTCTCCGTGGCTCTGTCTCCTTTCACTGTTTTCCTTTTCAAACGCTGTGTACAATCACCTCTGGTAAACTTTTTTACCTGTTTCTATATGAAACTTATCTTGTATCTCTCCTACACTTTACGCTTCAATCTTGCCTTATGTATCCAACTCATTTTTTTTAATCTCCAAGGTGGACTGGCAAGAAAGAGCTCTGGCTTCTTTGTGTGACCTTGAGCAAATTACATGACATCCCTGAATTTGTTTACTGATCTGTAAAATGGATAATAACACTTACCTGCCTCCCTGAAATGGTTGTTGTGGGACTCAAATGAGATAATGGGGGGTCATTTAGACACGTATACAAATAAATAGAAGAAAGAATAGAAGGGGTTATTTCTTCTGTCATCTCTTTGCCTGTATCAGTGTATTTCTCTAAATATGGATTGTGGGATCTAGGAAGTCTATTCTTTTTCCAGCGCGCTCTCCTGCACGCTGGCATTGAAAACCTCCAGTTGCTGTGTCTTCTTAGCTGCTGTTTTGTGTTCTGTTCAGCTGATTGCCAAGTATTCTCTAACTCCCACCCCCTAGGGCTCCCACTTTCTAGCTTAGTTTAGCCTTTTCCTCTCTTGTTGCTACTGTGTGTCATGTGAAATTGCTTATCCTTGCTTGGTGACCAGATGGTTTACACATTGCTTGCACACATAATATATTCTTTAAAAAATATTTCGGGTATTCTTTTTGGATTTTAGAGCTGTAGAAAGCAAGGAAAGCAAGGATTTTTTTTTCTTTCCTTTTTCTGTTTCTTAGTAGCTTTCCCAGTAAAACATGCTGCAGATTGAGTGTTCAGAGGCTGCTGACTGTAGATGTGAAAGTGTAGATCTTTTATAAATAAATTTGTTATAAATCTGTGTTTTTAACCAAGGCATTTCTATTTAATTTTGGACAGAAAAAAACCCTGAGTTTATCAGCACCTGACCCTGATATATATTACATAGTCTATTTACAAAAATTTCTCGGAAGACATTGCAGTCAGAATTAATTTCTTATCTTTAGCCACTGATCCCATTATGTTTATGGGGAATAGAAGGGTTTATAGTATGTGGATTTTCCTCCTCCTCCTCAAGGGATTAATGTCTGAATGCTTTAACCACCATGAACTTGTTTTTGAATATAAAAATAGCTTCCTTGGTATAGTTGTAAAATTATTTTTAATTCCTGAGATACTGTGAATTCATTAAATATGTAAAGATCTCTTCTCTGTGCTCTAAATGAGGTAACAGTAATTAGAATTTTCTGATCATAGAAAATTTAGCACTCTTCAGTGGATGGGGTGTTACTTGTACAGAACTTGTGAGGGCACTTTTGGGGAAAGATTAAAGTTCATGTTTGGGTTTTTATTGAATGAGTTTGAGTCCACCTACAAATACTTGGTTGGTCATTAAGACTTTTAATTTTAGAAACTGTATTATCCTAAAAATGTTTACAACCTTCTTAATGCTTTCCAGGAACCAGATCCAGAATTGCCAGTGTCTCAGGTAAAGGTTTAGCTGCAACCTTTAGTTTAGAGAATAGTTTAATTACTATTGCTTAGTAGTTGCTATAGATTAGAAAATTTGCTGCCTATCTACTTGTGCTGTTATAAAATTAGCTATATCTACCAATCATTCTGTAGATATAAACTATTATATTTCTAATACTTTGTGTCTGTGGATGTAAAACTAGGGCACTCTACTCATTAAGACTTGTAGCTTAAATAGAAATGACCAATATTGACCTAGAGGATGAGAAAAATAAAGGCGGAGGCAAGGGGAGTCAGAGGCTTAGAAAGGGCGCCAAGATGTCAGGAGTGTCTGAAAAGACTGTGATGGATTGGATCATAGGTCTTGAGTAAAGAGTAGGCCGACTCCGCTTGGGAAGGTCTTGTTTTTAGAGAGAGGTGCCTGCCACTGTGAGGAAGAAAAGACTTGGCCAGACAGCCACATCTACCAAATGAACTTTGTTAGACATGAGAGGTGGCCAGAGAGACCTGCTAACTGGATGAGACAGTAGATGAGTGGAAAGGGAACCCAGGAAGAGGAGTCTGGTTAGGGGGCCTCCTGGCCAGTGAAGCTTTTAGCCCAAGAGTGTTTCCAGTAAGTCTGGGAATAAGGAGAAGGGACGAGAGAGATGTAAATCAGAGAACTTAAATATTGTCAGGGGTTTGCCCTGCCAAGCAAGAGTGAATTTTAAGTGTTTTTTAGATAAATAAACAATTTGAACCTCATGGGGTTTACATGTGTAATTATCAAACCTTTTAGAAGAAAGTAGTATACAAAATACTCTGATGGAGGCCTGTGTAGTTTCAAACAAACATGGTAAATAGGTTAAAATGTAGTACTCTGTTCTTTAAAAGGATGACATTTGTCATTGGAATGTTCATAATCATGATTTCCAAATTGATAGAGCGTGGAAAACTATTTTTTGTATAATACATGTACAAGTCATAAGAATCACCTAAGGTATAAATAGAGTAAGTAATGTGCCTTTTGTTTTCAGTAATTTTGGAAGATTTTGATTAAAGTTAAAATTAAATTAAAACATCAATAATTTGCATTGTTGGTATGGTTTGAAAACTTTCAGTGGTATTTGAAAGTTTCAGACCAGCACAGGGACTTCATGAAGGACCTGTATTTGACGTTTCCTGCTCTGTTACTATAGACTTAATTGGATAGTGATCTAAAAGAATCGGAAGGGAACAAGGCTGACTGGATTCTTTTGAGCTCACTATTCACACTTTTTGCCTTTCCTCTTTTGCAGGTTTTTATCACTTCAAAATAAATGAGGCTTTACAATAACAATTCAACATTTTGTGCCTAAATTTTCATTTTCATAGAGTAGGCAGAGTGTCACATGTTACTGATTCTCATGATGTCTAAATCAGGTTAGACAGACTGTTCTTTTGGTAGCTTTATTCTAAGAATAACTTAGTAAAATTGTTTCTTACCTGTCTTAAAAGGCTTTACATAGCCTTGCATTCTGTATTAAGAGGAACAAAACAGTGTAAACCTGCTTTACTCAGTCAGTAGAGTTTTAACCTTTTAATTTGTCTATTTTTATCACTGAAATTGGATTAACCTCACAGAAGGTAGTACAGGGAAGTCAGTATTTTCCTGATGTTAGCTGGCAGACAGTTGCCTCAAGAGTAATGTCCTGTATATAGACTAACTCAGCAGGTAAATGAGATGGGATTGTGTTTCGCAGATAAAAAAGGAAATAATTGATGTGATGATTACTCATTTAGATTGGGAGGATCTATGCTTTTCCCTTAAAAAAAAATTCCTAAGCATCTATTATTTTTATCGATTTTACAGGACTTCCAATACGGAGGTATTCAAATTTATCTATATAAACTGCATGACCCTGTCATTTATTAACAACTTAAGTATTTCTGATAAAAACCAGTTTATAGTTTTATTAAGATTCAAGTGGCAGTGTAGGGTTACCAGTTTGCTTTGTTATGCATTTTATTTTATTTTTAAAAATTTTTATTGGAGTATAGTTGATTTACAATATTGTATGCATTTTATTTTAATCACTGATTAGTTTTGAACTTTAAAAAAATTTAAACAGGCAGAGGAATTTAGGGCTGTAAAACATGCTTGGCTTGCCTCCAAAATAAAATGTTTTCATTAAAATTCCGAGAATTGTTCCTGTTGCCCAGAGCAGTTCTTTGAATACAATCTGATGTTTAATCAAGCAGTGATACATGATTTTCAAGGTCATTTTTTGTTAGGATAGAAGGAGGAAAGTCAGGAAAATTAATATTCTCAAATACTGATGAAATTTAAAATTAAGTAATGGTGCAAGTAGATCTTATTGCAGATCTTTAAATATCAGAAATTCACATCATTATTTCTACTTCTTAATAATGAGGTTTTAGAAACTGAAACAAATATAGATTTACCTTTTTGAAAAAGTGAATTCTTATGGAATAAAATTAAAAAAAAAAGATCTTCCTATTTGGCTTCTGAAGCATATATTCATTTGGTTGGGAGGGAATAGTGGATTTACATTCCTATGTTTTGCTTAGCCTGATGTAAAATAATTTGCACCTTCTTAATATTTGAGGGGTTAGTAGAAGGATAGAAGTCAAGAAGCATGATGGATTGGACTATGAGATAACAGAATGGGTATGAAAATAGTTTAAAAAATATGTGCATGGATAATTAATATCCAACTGTATAAATGATACTGTAATAATAAAAATTTGACTTTTAGAGAGTCAATTTAACTAGGACTCCAAATCATACTCCTGAAGCTTTATTAACTCCTCATCATGGCATACAGGTGGCATACAGGATCCCTCACTGGCCCCTGCCTTTTTCTCCAGCTTCTTCTCAAGCAGCTTCTCCTCAGCTGAACCTGATTCTTCTACCACATTCTTGTTTCTCCATATGAGCCCTCAAGCTGGCCTTCCTTTGCCCTATGCGCTCTACCTGGCACGCACTCTCCTGTCTTGGCCGTGGGGCAAACTCTCCTCCTTTACCTTTTCTTCCACCCCAAGGCAGCTGCGTGCCTTTCTTTGTCCTTCTATAGCATGTTCCAGGTTTTCGTTTTTACACTTTCCCCATAACGCTGAAATTCTTATGAGCTAGAACTTGGGCTGTGACTTACTCATCTCTGTTCCCAGGACCCGGCATGCAGTAGGTGCTCCCTGGGAATATGGGAATGAACTAGTGAAGCCCACATCCTGCTTTACTGTGTGAACAGAGGATGCTGCCGTCCTTCCTCTTGTCCACCGGAGGTGCTCAGCAAAGAATATGCCCTTTTGAAAAATTAAAGCCATCAGATACTTGCAGGGCAATAGGAACTGTGAGGACTTAAATCAGGATTACTTATTTCCATCTTTAAAGTTAAATTAAACCGTTAGTCCAAGCCAGTGATGAGTGACGACTTCCTTGACCCCTGAGAATAGCTGTATCAGTCTGGCAACTTTCCTAATCTTTGGTGGCTCCCACAGTTAGATGCAGTTCCAATTGGAACTGACTTTTTAAACAAAAAAATTAGTTCTTTGGGTCCATATTCTTCTCATTCAATTGGGTTAAATTTACACATAACGTTTGAAATATTTTATTCTAAGTTATCTGTTAAGAATCCAGTAAACCTCAACCAGAAAAGTATAAGACAAAACCCCAATAATCTAATCAAATGTAATTTCACTTGAGGAACCTAAATATATTGTGAAGACAGCCTTCTTTTTTTTTTTTTCCCTGTGGTAGGCTGTCTCTTGTGATGACAAGCTCTGTGGACAGCTGATATTATATATATCTTTTTTTTTCATTTCAACATTATTTTTTTAATTTATTTTTTTATACAGCAGGTTCTTATTAGTTATCCATTTTATACACATTAGTTGTATATATGTCAATCCCAATCTCCCAATTCATCCCACCACCACCCTTCCCCTCCCCCCCCCACTTTCCCCCCCTTGGTGTCCATACGTTTGTTCTCTACATCTGTGTCTCTATTTCTGCCCTGCACATTCAATCCCCTCTTGGCATCTGCTTCTGGGAGGACCTGGACTCACACAGGGGAGATAATACCTCATGGTGAGGACCAAAGGCAACAATGTAATTTCCTTTTGTTCCCATTAAAAGGAAAGCATGAAGACTTAAAAATTCTTTTTCTTTAAAAATTTTTAAAAATATACATTCCAATTACTTTAGCCCACAAAAGGATCTCTGCCTTCTAATTCTTGTAAAACCATTTTCCATGTAGCTCATTTGTCACATATCATGCATTGCTTTGCCTTGTTATTTAATCCAGTAGGTGATACGTTCAGGAAAATTAGGATCCATGTCTTTATCTTCTCGCATTTCCTTCTCAGAACCTAGCCCGGTGCTACATAAGTAGGAGGTGCTCAATAAATACACACTGATGATTCAGTGCATCTCGATATCCTTATGTGAGGACTCTCTGGTCCTCTTGTAGCCTCCATCTGTTCCTCCCTCGGTCCCTTGCCTTCATGCAGCATGCTTCACAGCCAGATTCCTAGTATGATGAGGCCTAACCCCTTTCCAGATTTCCCTTGCTGCTGCTCCCCCTGTAGTATAGAGTCGGTCCTATACTGCTGCCTCAAGTGTTGCCTTCTCCCCAAATCTGCCACAGGACACCAAGCTTTATTGCTCCCTGCTTCTATTGAAGCAGAAAGGTAAACTTTTCTGATAAAGCAGTTTTAAATATTTCACAAGGTATTTAATTGTGCACATCTTTACGTCTAATTTCTCAGGGTAAAGCAAAGCTGATGAGATATTTTCTAGGTTCCTTAATTACCTTTCCATTTTTTTCCACACTTTCTAACAGGTTTACTCGCTGATCTACTGGCTAGATCACAAAGCAACCAAGATTGTGTTGATTAGTTATTTGGGAAGTGGGAAAAATTAATCCTAGTTCAAGTTAAAATTTTTGGAATACCTATTGTGTACACAAACCATAGGTGTGATGGAAAATTCAAAAGTGAACAAGGTAAAAAAGCTTGTGTTCTGGGGGAAGGGAGGGCAAACATATGCCCAAATAATTATAGTGTTGGTTGAATATAGTAAGTACATAATAATAGAAGTGTAAAAGAAAGTGCTTTCTAAGAAAGACAAGAGGGAAGTAGGCTCAGAGTTAAACTATCAGGGAAGTCTTCACGAAGGACTTGGCCCTGAAGGAGAAAGGCAGAAAGAACACGTGGTTGTAGCTTTACTCATCTGTTTTCAAATTATTATTCTAGTAAAATTTTCTATAAAGATCTTCTTTCACTTATAAAAAGGCATGTTAGAAGACTACTAGGTAAGTACCACACTTTTGTTTACTAGGTAATTGATCTATTGATTGTTTCTTGATTAATAATGACCTTGCCTTCTTGTATTAGTTCCTGGACATAGCCCTTTAAATTAGTATCATGCATTAAGTATGGTAAACATGTTTGATAAAAAATTAGATAATAATAAAGGATGGCTGATTTCTATAGGCTATGCACTACTTCTAATGCAATTTAAGATATGCTTTATCTTATCTATGCTTTTTAGGCAGCCTGGATTTTAAAAGCACGAGCACTAACTGAAATGGTGTACATAGATGAAATTGACGTAGATCAGGAAGGAATTGCAGAAATGATACTGGATGAAAATGCTATTGCTCAGGTTCCACGTAAGTACTGGTTTTTCAGTTAAGTAAATGAAAAGCCATTAGGAGGAGGAATACTCTCTATGTGTACTTTTTTATAATAAAAATAAGACACATACATGAAGCACGTGTATGCATGAAAAAATATTACCTCCATTCTGCCTTATAGTACAAAGGCACAATTATATTATCTTAAACTTAAGGTGTGAGATTGATGTATAACTATTTTTCAGTAGAAGCTATATTATGCATTTTAAAATATTTTATAAAAAGGCATTCTATCTGAGCTGCTTATCTAATATATCAAAGATTGTTTATCTGAGAGTCTAAACACAGGAAGCATCCAAACAACAGAAGTGTTCTAAAAAAATGATAATTTGAAAACATCACTTCATTGTAATAATTGATGATTTGCTCTAATGCATGATGTGAGGTGATGGAGTGATTTGCTAGGCAGTGACTGTCCATCAGGATTGTCACAGTGGCCTAGTCCCAGCTTGCAGGTGTGCTGCTGTGAATGGTATTGGATGATTACCATGACATATGGTATCTTGCTTGTAATTTGTTAGTTGTGACAGTTATCAGTCATTTATATATGTTTGGAAGGTAATAGCTGTTTTAATGCTTCAGTGGAAATTGAGAAAAAAAAGTACATATGTTTCATGTTAAGATGTCTTTTTTCCCTATCATTTTGCTCTTTTGGAGTTAAAATATCTAAATTCCAAATATTGGGGGTAACTGATCTTTTATTGGGAGAAGAAGTTTGTATGAAAAATAAACTATGAGTATAGAACTGTCATTTTGATGTGTTGGAGCTTTGGAGCCTGCCTGTCTTGAGTTTGAATGCTGGCTCTACTAACAGGTTGACCTGTTTATTTAAATCTCTAAGCCTTTGCTAAATGGGTTAGTACTACCTACCTTGCAGAATTAGTGTGGAGATTAAATGTAATAACAAAAGTAACATGATAGGTACTCAATAAATATTAGTCTCAAACACATTACTCTAGATACATTTCCTGTTACTAATGTCTTTTTCACCAGGCTAGCACATTTGTGAAAATTGCATTAGTGGACAGTTTTTACAGATCAATAAATAATATACAAATTGAATTTGCCATCTCATCTTATAGGTCCTGGAACATCTCTGAAACTCCCTGGAACTAATCAGACAGGAGGCCCTAGTCCAGCTGTCAGGTATGTTCAGTATACTCCTGTTTCATTCCCTTTGCCACTAAATATTGACCAGGCTCCATGAGAATCTTCCTTTATTGATCTTCTTTGTATTTTAACAATTTACAATCTTCACAGGCCGATCACTCAAGCTGGAAGACCCATTACAGGTTTCCTTAGACCCAGCACACAAAGTGGAAGGCCAGGCACTATGGAACAGGCCATCAGAACACCCAGAACTGCCTACACAGCTCGCCCTATTACCAGCTCATCTGGAAGATTTGTCAGGCTGGGAACGGTAAATTCTGTCAGCTTTACCATAGCCTTGTATGACCAAAGTAATTTATGTTATGTTAATCATTTTTCACTATTTTTATAGTAGACAATTATATGGAAAAATTTTGAAGGTGATTCTTTTTACTTGTGTTGGCTTTATAATTTTATGCACATTAAACTCAATTTATGTTTCAAGAGAAAGTTTCAGATTTCTTGTTCTATCATTTTTCCCCATAGGCTTCCATGCTTACAAGTCCTGATGGACCTTTTATAAATTTATCTAGACTGAATTTAACAAAATATGCCCAGAAACCTAAATTGGCAAAGGTATGTACTTAAAATTATTTTATGTTATGAAGTAATGTTCAAAATGTTATCATAACATTACAGGAAATGGATAAAAATTTGTGAAGAAAAGACCTTGTCTTGATTGAAATGGAAATGTTTAATTATTCTAATATCTAAAATTTTTCTTAGTATTGAGTTAAGGAAAGTCAATCAGAAATAAAGCATATATACCATTATAATAGGAAATTCTTTTTCTCCTAATAAAGAACAGCAATTTATAACAAAGAAAGCAGATGTTACCCATTACCCACCATCTTTGGGTAATGAAGTTTAGGAGATCATCTGTATGTGTGTGTATTTTTCTTTTTCAGCTTGGACTGTTCTCAGAAAAATAATTTTCTATCCTTGTAGGATTTTAGAACTGTCAAAAAGAAGATAAAAAAATGTTCTCTTTCTAATTAGTAATTAATCAGGCATCTCAATAAAGATTTCTTGAGCCAGACAGCAGCAAGCCAACTACATTAGTACTTCTAACCATTAAATGCTCCTCTAAATTAAAGAGAAAGTGAGAGCAAGAGAAAAAGTGATAAGAGAGTGAGAAGGGAGAGGGAGAGGGAGAGAAAGGAGGATGTTCGTGACCTTTCCAGTACAGAAAAGTTTAGAGGTGAGCATGGAATAATTCAGAGCCAGGAGCAGTTAGCTTCTGGAAATTGGTGTAAGCCTAGCTCAGGTTTTTAGCTGTAATCTCTATGAATTCTGTGCATGAGTGCTGAGCTCATTCCTATTATCAGTTCTACTGGTGTTTAACATATTTAGTAAATATTAAACACTCTAGGGAAAATGAAAAAGGACACTAGCCATACAGACTTGAATTTTAAATCAGGAAAAGGAATGCCAGTTGGCAAACAAGGAATCAGACTATAATAATGCCAATGATGTTTTTCTTTTTTTTTTTTTAATTAATTAATTTATTTACTTTTGGCTGTGTTGGGTCTTCGTTTCTGTGCGAGGGCTTTCTCTAGTTGCGGCGAGTGGGGGCCACTCTTCATCGCAGTGCGCGGGCCTCTCACTGTCGTGGCCTCTCTTGTTGTGGAGCACAGGCTCCAGACGCGCAGGCTCAGTAGTTGTGGCTCACAGGCCCAGTTGCTCCGCGGCATGTGGGATCTTCCGAGACCAGGGCTCGAACCCGTGTCCCCTACATTGGCAGGCAGATTCTCAACCACTGCGCCCCCAGGGAAGCCCCCCGATGATGTTTTTCTTAATTTCTTATTTGATAGCAACCCAGTCAACTTCATTTAGCAAAATCATAAACTTTTACTTATTTCCCTTTCCTTTATGAGGAATATCTGATTCCTTATCTTTTTAGGCCGTTTATTTGAGGTGGCTGAATGGCTACTTAATACCATTGTTGTTTTCTAACCAGGGAGTGTAGTCAGTAGAGGCATTTCCCTCAAATTAGGATGCTTCCAGGACAGACCTGGTCTATGTTACTAGATTTAGACGAGCTAGATTTTGCATTTATTTAGTGTGTTGTAGAAATAATGCTAGGTTTCTCTGTCTTTGGTCCCCAACTTGCCTTGACTTATCAGGACTCATTTCTAATATTGGCATATTGCTTGGGGTGGCTGGTGACTCCTTGACACTGTCTTGGGTGTTATAACATCCTTTTCATGGCAGTGGTAACACCAACTGCTCTCATAACTTTTTTTTTTTTTTTTTAATAAGAGAACAAATGGAGGATTAGGAATAGTTTTCTAAAGAGGACCTCATCCTAATTTCTTTTTTCTTTTTTTGTTTGCCTTCAGGTCATCTCTGTTAATAATCTTGATATCTTTCAGGGGTGCTAGCCTCTTTGCAAGTATAAAATAATGGTATTATGGACAAATGTAGTACCACCAAGCGGTAGTCCGGTAAATGCTTATTTATCCAGATAGGTTGGGGGCAGTATTAGAATAATGATTCTCAGCCCTGGCTGCACATAGAGGCATCTGCATATTAAGGAAAAACTCCCTACTTTACAGTTAAACTCTACTTTGTTTCAAAAAGAACTTCCAGATTTTCCCATGTCTAAAGTGTCATTATTAATATCGTAATCACTGTATAATACATGTAGTTTTATGACAGTCCTAAAGTTGGTCTTTTCATTTGTCTCTTTCTGATAAAATAGTATGTGTAATATGAAAAAAATTGTTGAATTATTTGAGCTTTCCAGTTCGTATTCTGTGAAAACAGGAATCAGTTATAAGTAGCCTTATTTTAAAATGAATGGTTGTAACAAATGGTGGATAGACCCTTTACTTATAAATCCCAGGCACTTTAGAGCACTTTGTTATTTTGGTTCAATCTAGCTGCTGTCAAAATGGCCTTTGAGTTTTGATATGACAATAAAGTACCTTTGTTAAAATAAAAGCTAATGTATTTTTTTGCATTTTTTTTCTTCACAGGCTTTGTTCGAGTATATCTTTCATCATGAAAATGATGTTAAAACTGTAAGTTTTGAATTTGCACTATTTTTAATGTGATTTTTATGACTTTGGGGATTTAGATTCTGAAATGTTCTGTTTCTGACCTTATAAACAGATGGAATTATGAAGATTGGAGAATTACTGATACTTTCAAATCCACTGTCAGTTTCAGTAGGAAACTTTGTATAACTATGGAAGTCATAAGACTTGTGCCTGATCCATAGAGTAGTAGATCTCCATTAAAGGGCAAGATATAGATAATTGAGAATGCTGCGTAGTATATTTGTGTTAAAGTTTATTTTTTATACTAATAGTTAGCATTGTTGATCCGTTTTCTTCTTTGGTCCATATAGTGATTATAGGTTTACTAATACATGTATTTCTGGTCTCTTTGTAGTGTTCCCCATCTCCTCCCCTTTAACATTTTATAATAGAAAATTTCAAACATGTGCAAGTGGAGAGTATAATGAGCCTGTATCAGTCATCACCCAGCTTCAACAATAATCAATAATCAGTTGTCTTGGTAGCCTTTCAACAGAGAATTTTAAGGTTACATGCTCAGGACTTCTCCATTTGTGTCATTTTTCAACATACTAATATGCAAATGAGCAGTAACTTCACAAATCTTGTCCAATCAAATGTAGTTAATTCTACAGTGTCTAATGATAGTATTTTCTGTCATTTTCTTATTCAAGGAAAAAACCTTATATATTAAGTATTCAGGAAGACAAAAGCATTTTTCTCAATTGTGTTTTCTATGTGTCAACCATTATGTTATGTACTAGGAAAACTAATAAAAATATGATATTTGTTCCTGCCTCTACAAGCCATGTAATCTAGCTGAGGAAATAAAATTGACATAATGAAACAGTTAAAAAGGTAATTGCCAGAATGTGAAATTGGTACCGTAGATCAAGGGGAAAAATCAGGGGATAATATTAGTAAAAATCCGTAAAATCAGTAGGATTTTTTGGAAAGGGTGGGAAAAAATGTAAAAGAAGGGTAAAAACATGAGCAAGGTATGGAAAGAGAAATAAATAAACCACATTCTCAAAAATGGGGGTGTCAAAGAGACATTTTAGAGAAAGAAGTGACAGAACGTGATGCTAGATTTGGTATGGGAGACAAAGGAAAGACACAGCTCAAACTTGCCTCTTAAAGATGCTGGAAGAATGGCCGTTTTACTAACAGAAATGGGATTATTAGGGAAGGACGTCAGTTTGTAAAGAAGCTGAATAATTCACTAGAAGGCATTTTTAGTTTGAAATTGTGAAAGGCTATCCAAGTGGAGATGTCACTGCATGTATTGGAAGCTGTGACACTAAAATATAGGGGTCCTGGGCCAGATACACAGAGTATGGGAGTTATCGATAATGAAGTGATAGTGGATGTGGTCACATCGAGAAAAGAGAAAACTAAGGTTGGGGCAACTGAGAAACCATGCACATTTCTGTAAATAAAAGTCAGTACATGCCATTTTCACTCAATATAAAGCTGGTCAGAGGGTTTCAGGGTGATATATAAAATCATGTAGTTACACTGTCATTAAAAAGAAACATTCAAATACCATCCCATTTTATAAATGAGTAAATATTTGTAATTACTAGAGTATCATAAAGCTATATCCTGACTTTTTGAAGATTAATTCACTTATTGCAGAGACATTTATTCTTTCTTCCAACATATTTTGAGCCACTACAGTGTGCCAGGCACTGTCCTAGGCCCTGAGATTACAGAGTGAAGCAATCAGACAAAATCTCTGCTCTTTTGGAGATTACGTTCCGGTTGGGCAAGGAATAGAGACAGTTAGCAAACTTAAAAATATATAAAATGTCATGGGATAAGCAGTATAAAAATAAAGCAGGGAAACCAGGTAAGAGAATAGATGACATGGGGGAAGATGTCCTTTTATATGGGCTGGGAGGTGGTCAGTGAAGTCCACTCTGAAAAGACATTTAAACAGAGACCTGTATGAAGGGAGACAAACCATATGGTTAGGTGGAGGAAGAGCATGTAAATCAGAGACAACTTTAACTGCAAAGGCCCCGAATATTAGCATTCTTGGATTGTTTAAGGAACAGTGAGGAGGCCACTGTGGCTGGAGTGAGGTCTTTGAAGGGGAAGAGTTGTAGGCAATGGGTTCAGAAAGTTGACAGATCATATGCTGTTTATAGGTCATAGTGATGATGTCTTTATTCATCTTGAAGATGTTGTTCTGCATCTTGGCATTTACATAATTTTGTTGAGGAATGTTGTTTTTTCAGCTACATTGAAAAAATAGAATTTGTTCTATGGAAAACTGTATTTCTGCCTTTGAGTTCTTAATAACTTCCTTCCTCTCCCTTCTTGGGGCAGTATTGGCAATGTTGACAAACTGAAGGGGCGTGTGGGTTGGTGATTCTGGAATCTTTATTTCCATATGCTCTTTAATTTCGTCATGCTGAAGTTGTCGCAACTCTAACAATAGTGAAAGGATGACTGTTTTTTAAACTTTAGAGGTTGGAGCACTATTACTTAGGAAGGTCACTGGGACGCCCAGGTGGATGTATTCACAAACATGTTGTCGAGATCTGCCAAGGTTCCCTGTTCTTATGGACTTTTATAAACTTATGCCTTTTATTTATGACCTTCTAGGTCTTTATTAATATCTAGATATCGGATTGATTGACTTATTCAAAGATCCTTAAATATAAGTATATAGTAATTTATTTTAAAAAACCGGGGAAGACTTTAAAGAAATATAGCTCTCTGTAACCTCTTTAAAATTTTAAAATGTTAATAGCTTTTAATTATGAATCTTATTACTATGACAGTTTTGTTTGGTTCTTAAGTTATTGTCAACGTAAGTCAGAAGTAAAGAATAGAATTAATTCAGTCAACAAATAATTCTTGAGTGCCTCTTAACCGCACAGTGACATTGCAGAACAGAGATGTGTTAAGAAGTGGATGCCTGTCCTCGGGGAATTTAGAGTCCATTTGAAATAGTCACAAGTGGTTTTGTCTAGTGCAGCCCCAGTCTTCAAATGAAGAGTGATCATTAATGTGTAATTTTTTTGACCATTTTTATTCTACATCAGTGATCATATTAATTTCCTTAATTGGTTTAGACAAACATGTGGCTCCTGCATAGGAACCATATCTGAAAGTAAAATCAGCAGCCTGTAATCAGCACTAAGTCTAATCTTGGAAAAATTAGAAGGTGTAAAAAAAATTTAGAATGACATTTTTCTGAAAAATAGAAGGTCTGTTATATTAAACATGAAAGTGAATCTGATCTATTCGCTGGAACAGGTCTTTTAAAGGATTAAGTTAAAATGAATATATTCAGATATTTACAATTTACTCCTGAACTGAGCTGATTGAAATATGGTTCTCTGGTACTTCCAGAGATAATGGTAATTGAAATTATACTTTTTTTCTTCATTTTTCACTTCCATTTTTACCTCTTGCTTGGGGGAAAAAAGAAAAGCTTATGAACATAGTGTGTAGCGTGCTTTTAATTTCCATAGCTTTCAAGTAGAGGTGTTGATTTTTCAAGTCCATTAGAACCTCAGCATGGTGACACCATTCCTTTATAAATAGTTTGCATATTTAGAAGTCTCCCCTGGAGCGAGGGAAGATGGGGAACACAAGGAAAGTTATTTATTTTGCAGTAGGAGATTCAAGGAGCTCTTCTGGCATTCATTTCAGAAAAGAGTTAATATTAAGAAATGGGCAATAATATGGGATGCATTCTGAGATTATAGAACTGAAAATCTAAGAGTTACTTTAACTGAGCTGTTGGATATCATCATGATGTTAACACTGACTAAAGAATAAAAGGTTTTCAACCTTAAGAGAAAGAATAACAAGTATTATTAAAAAACCAGAATTCTTTTTAAACTAATAACCTGAGTTTTTATTCACCAGATCTTTATATGAGCTTCAGATTTCTGTGAGCTTTGAATTTGTATAAAGATTGACTTACTTTCCTCTTTGTCCAAATGGTTTCCACTTTTTTGGTATAGAATCCTAATTCCTAATGAGATGTCTCTTGTCTGATCTTAAATAATCACTAGAAGGAACAAACTAGAAGACGTTAGAGAGAAAGGGATAAACACATGTAAAATGCAAAAGCAGTTAAGAAGATCTTTTTTAGTCTGCAGCGAATGAAAGTCTGACCTTTAGAATTACTGGCATGTGAGGTAATGTCAGAATAATGGAATGATGGTTGTTAAAAGACGGCGGTTACCCAAGTACCCCAGCTCCTTTCACTCTTCTTCATGACCCTGTTTTCAAACCTTTTTCTATCTGCATACTTGATCTTTCTTTATTTCTCTACACCTGTCCTTAAAGTGGGGCCTGCGGTTGGGCCTGCCTTACGTGGTAAAGGCTTGACTCCCACTGGGTTTGGAGGCATTTTGGTTGGGAGAGGGTAAAAACTGACGGATTTTTAAATACCATTTTCGTACCTTGTATATTAAAATTGTATTCAAATAGACTGTATGTCTGCTTCCCTTTGATCACTGTTTACTTCTCATCTGCTGTCAGTCCTCTGGTCTGGAACTGATTATTTAGGGAAGATTGGTGGGGCCATCTGGAGACATGAGCAGCTTGAGTTTCTGTCTGATTTCTAATGCATGTTTTGATTGATGCTAATTATATGGTTTATTTCATTATTTTTTGTTTCTGTTTATTGTTAGAAAAGAAAATCCTAATCTAAAATGAATTGTTTTTCAAAGGCTTTGGATTTGGCTGCCCTTTCCACAGAGCATTCTCAGTACAAGGACTGGTGGTGGAAAGTGCAGATTGGAAAATGTTACTACAGGTAAAATTTTGATTATTTGGAAAAGGCTTAGAAGCAGCAACATATTTTAGAGTCTCAAATCTGGTAACCTTTTCTGGGGGATAGATTTCCTCATGAAGAAAGGAGAACTGTGTCTTTGGCTTACGTGAGGAAGCATTTACTTAGCAATCACATGATGGCACTAAGAACTGACACCTTTAGGATAGTAAAATTTTAGAGCTGGGAAGGGGAAACTTTGAGACCATCACATCCAACACTCCTTTTCAGATGAGGAAGCTGAGGCCAGAGAGAGGTTGTGATTTGCATCAGGAACTAGTCAGTAACAGACCTAGGACTAGAATTGAGTCTGTTCGTTCTCACTCCACTCCTCTTGGCTCTCAAGTCTTTCCTCCCTCCCTCCCTCCCTCCCTCCCTCCTTCCTTCCTTCTTAATTTTTATTGGAGTATAGTTGATTTACAATGTCGTGTTAGTTTCAAGTGTGCAGCAAAGTGAATCACTTATGCATACACATATATCCACTTTTTTTTTTTTAGATTCTTTCCCCATCAAGTTTTTATTTCTACTGATGCCTCATGTCTGTAAAGTGCTTTATAGTTGAGATAGCTTGTCCACACATTACATTATCTCACTTAAATCTTATGGCACTTTGGATATAGTTGCTATTATTAGCCCTTTGTCCAGATGTGAGAAACTGAGCCTCAGAAAGATAAAGTGACTTTCCCAAATTCATGTAGCTAGTATGTGACAGAACGAGAATTTGAGCTCAGCTTTCTGATGCCAGTTCTTTTACTATTTGCACAATCCCATGGTGTTTCTCTAGGATCTAAATAGTCTTACACTAATTTACTTAATGTTTAAACACATTTTTAAGCAAATTAATTGAGACATAAAAAAAGTTGTAATAATTTATGCATATTATACAGCAACTGGTAAATAGGATCTGAAATGATTGCTTGATATTGAAATGCACTTGGAGCATTTGAAAAATAGTGACAAATGAAAAATTATATTTTATAAAGATAAATATGTCTTTTATTATTCAAAAACAAGGTAGACTAGGTACTGTGAGTATCCTTCGATGGTTATTAACTTTAGTTATTAGTTAAACACTGTGAGGAAAAGGAAATATATAAATAGAATAAAAAGGATGCTTATTCTTCTACTATTGAAATTAAGACTATTTTCCATTTAGATATTTCACATAGAACTCTGAAGTATTTTTTCCTACTGTTAGATTGAGGAAGTATTTTCTGCTAAAAGGTAATTTTGGACAATTATAACATTAAACTCTTATGAATATAATTTCTGAAGACAAGCTTGAAATCTTGAGCTTCTAAGCAAAACTCTCAGAAATCTATAATAATGAGAGAAAAGCACAACTTGGATTCCTTCTGCCATCCATATAAGATGGCATTTAAATGAGTATATTTTGTCATATTAATTATTGTTCTCCTCTGTTCCTTAATAGCTTCTTGTCTTATTATGTATTCAGCATTCATTCATTTATTCATTTGCTCAAATGGCTTACATTTGAATGGAGGAGAGAGAACAGGAAACAATTATAAATGTGGTTCCCATTATGGTAGAAGCAAGTGCAGGGTGCAGTGGGAGCCCAGAGAAAGATGTCAAGGATGGATTGCCAGAGGGTGTAGCCCCATATTGACTTCTGTCTCTTTGCTCCTGATCATTAAGTTCTACTGGTTCTTCCTCTGCAGTATCTCTTACAGTTGCTCCACTGCTACCCATTCCCACTGCAGTGCTTTAATCCTGGCTTTTAGTGTCATTTGTTTGAATTGCTACATTAGGTTCTTATCTGGGTTTTCTGCCTCCATTTTCTTGTCCCATCAATCCTTCCTGTATACCCCACTGTCAGAGTAACTGTTGCAAAAAAAACAGCTCTTGTTGGATTCTTTGGTTAATCTCCATTATCTCTGAAATGAAGTCTGGATTTTAAGTGTGGCTCCCATGACTTTGTCCCAGTCTACAGCTTTTCACTTTTCTGTTACTTCTCTCATTCCTTGTTGTGTTTTCCTTTTCAATTAAACCCAACAACTCAGCACTCCCCTAACATGCTGTGTACTTTCCTGCTTGTGTGCTTATGCTGATAGTTTGCTTCCGTCAGAGATATTCCCTTACCCCCTCCCCATCCTATCTAGCTGTCAAAATCTTGCCTGTTACTTCCCCGCTGAAACTTAGTTTGCTCCTCCGCTGTGCTCTCAAAACACTTTTTTTCTCATTGGCCATAATGCAATTAAATTTATTTTAAAATATGTTTTGTTTCAATCTTTACTGGTGCCTTCAGAACATGGTTGTTATCTTCATTTTTGCAACTCCTTACCATCATTAAATGTGCATGCAGTTGATCCTTGACAATGTTTACTGAATTAAATTGGAGAGAAAAAGTTGGCAGTTGGTGGAGATCATCTCTGGACTCTGATTCTTTGATATTGTCCTGTGTTTGTGAACTTGACTGATGTTTTCATTATTCCTAGACTTTCTTTACACATGGTGGCCACTCCATTTCCTCTGCACAGGAACCCATGTGATAAATTCCTTTTTGATAGGGCTAGAAGAAATGATCTCTTAAGGGTACAGTAATAAAACACATATGACTCATTCTTTCCTTTCTTTGGTTTCCAGGTGGTTCAATAGCTCTGATTGCTTGTTTGCTTTTTAATTTGTTTATTCTCCATTTTTTTTATAAATCTATTTCTGTTTTCATATTCTTATTTTACATGTATCTTGTTATTGTAATCCCTTTTAAATCATTTTTCGAAAGAGACAACTTAGTTACAAATATAGACTCTCATGGATAATTAGGTGTTCATGGAATTCAGTGACTGAACTTCAGCCACGTGTTTAAGGCTTGAATGTTCAGTTGAAGCTTTGTATATAAATATAAAGCCATTCTTCAGAACTTCAGAGTTCTCTGATAACATTTTATGAATACTCCTTGTAAAAGTTGTGGGACCTTTGAAGCGGTAGGGGCTTCTACTACATCACACATCCTCTAACTTTAGGCCAGATTTTGGGGTCACTTTTAACCTCATTGTCCCACATTGTCCATTGTCCCAAATAGCTGGGTATAGCCATGCCAGTACTTGAGGCTTAGGTTAGGAAAAAAGAACAAAGCTATTCTTTCAAGAATGAAAGTAACATAATGGATCATATTGTATGTTGTTTTGACTTTATTTTACAAAATAAAAGCATTGTCATAAAGTGCTAAGTAGCTCTTAGATGTCTGGGGATGAGTAGTTATGAGAAAGCCAAACAGATCTATTAAAGACAGGCTGAAGTGCGCTTTAATGATTGATTTCATTTCCCTGGGCAGAAGAAGTGCGTGTTGACACCAGAACAGTTATATTTAGGCAAGGAACAAGTCTGAAGTTCATAGACTAGATACAAAAAAAGGAAAAGAAAATGTTTGTAGGATAATAAAACGGTACAGCTGTTTTACTCGAGTGGCAATTACTATTTACCTCAAAATTGTTTAAAGTTTAAAAATGGGTTTATGCAAAGTCAAAAAATACCTTGAAATAAGTGAAAATGGAAATACAACACACCAAAACTTATGGGATGCAGCAAAAGTGGTCCTAAGAGGGAAGTTCCTAGCAATAAATGCCTACTCAAGAAACAAGAAAATTCTCAGATAAACAACCTAACTTTACTCCTCAAGGAACTAGAAAAAGAAGGACAAATGAAACCCAGAGTTAGTAGAAAGAAGGAAATAACAAAGATCAGAGCAGAAATAAATGAAATAGAGATTTAAAAGACAGTAGAAAAGATCAATGAAACCAGGAACTAGTTCTTTGAAAAGAAAAACAAAATTAACAGAACTTTAGCTAGACTCATCAAGAAAATAGAGTACTCAAATAAATACAATCAGAAATGAAAGAGGAGATATTACAACTGATACCACAGAAATACGGAGGATCATAAGAGACTACTATGAACAATTATAGGCCATCAAACTGGACAGGCTAGAAGAAATGGATGCGTTACTAGAAACATAAAATCTTCCAGGACTGAGTCATAGAAATAGAAAATCTGAACAGACCAAGTACTAGTAAGGAGATTGAATCAGTAATTTAAAAACTCCCTACAAACAAAAATTCAGGACAAGAGAGCTTCACAGGTAAATTCTGCCATTCAAAGAAGAATTAATACCAATCTTTCTCAAACTGTTTCACAAAATAGAAGAGGAGGGAACACTTTTGAACTTATTTTATGGGGCCAGCATTACCCTGATACCTAAACCAAATAAGGACACCACAAGAAAAGAAAATTACAGGCCAATATCACTGATGAACATAGATGCAAAAATCCTCAACAAAATATTAGCACATCAAATTCAACATTACACTAAAATGATCATAATAATGATTAAGTGGGATTTATTCTAGGGATGCAGGGATGGTTCAGTATATGCAAATCAACCACTGTGATACACCACATTAACAAAATGAAGGATAAAGATCACATGATTATCTCAGTAGATGCAGAAAAAGCATTTGACAAAATTCAACATCCAGTTATGATAAAAATTCCTAACAAAGCGGGTGTAGAGCGAATGTACCTCAATATAGTAAAGGCCGTACATGACAAGCCTGCAGCTAAATTCATACTCATTGGTGGAAATCTGAAAGATTTTGCTCTAAGATGAGGAATAAGATAAGCATGCCCACTCTCACCATTTTTATTCAACATAGTATTAGAAGTCCTATCCAGAGAAGTTTAGGCAAGAAAAAGAAATAAAAGGCATCCAAATCAGAAAGGAAGAAGTAAAACTGTCTGTTTACAGATGACATGATACTATATCTAGAATATGCTAAAGACTCCACCAAAAAACTATTGGAACTAATAAGTGAATTCAGTAAATTTGTAGGATACAAAATGAATATACAGAAATTTGTTGCTTTCTGTACACTAATAACAAACTATCAGAGAAATTAAGAAAACAATCCCAATTACAATAGCATCAAAAAATAAAATAACTTGGAATAAATTTAGCCAAGGAGTTGAGACACCTGTACACCAAAAACTATAAGATATTGATAAAAAAATTGATGAAGGCATAAGTAAATTGAAAGATATTTCACATTCATGGATTAGAAGAATTATTATTGTTGAAATGTCCATACTACCTGAAGCAATCTACAGATTCAGTGCAATCCCTATCAAAATTACAATGGCATTTTTGAAAGAAATAGAACAAACAATCCTAAAATTTGTATGGAACCACAACAGACCCTGAAGAACTAAAACAACCTTGAGAAAGAAAAACAAAGCTGGAGGCATCACATTCCCTGACTTCAAACCAAATTACAAAGCTATAGGGATTGTATAAAGTAGATAACTAATAAGAACCTGCTGCATAAAAAATAAATTAAATTAAATTTTAAAAAAAGTTATAGGGATCAAAACAGTATGCTGTTGGCATAAAAACAGACACATAGATCAATGGAACAGAATACAGGGCCCAGAAATAAACCCATGCACATGTGGTCAATAAATTTACAAAAGAGGGACTTCCCTGGTGGCACAGTGGTTAAGAATCCACCTTCCAATGCAGGGGACACGGGTTCGAGCCCTGGTCTGGGAAGATCCCACATGCCAAAGAGCAACAGCCCTTGCGCCACGACTACTGAGACTGCACTCTAGAGCCCATGAGCCTCAACTACTGAGCCTGAATGCCACAACTACTGAAGCCCGCGTGCCTAGAGCCTGTGCTTTGCAACAAGAGAAGCCACTGCAATGAGAAGCCCAGGCACCACAACGAAGAGTAGCCCCCTTCACTGCAACTAGAGAAAGCCCGCACGCAGCAACAAAGACCCAGTGCAGCCAAAAACAAATTAATTAATTAATTAATTTAAAAAATTTATAAAAAGTCAAGAATGTACAATGGGGAAAGGACAGTCTCTTCAATAAATTGTGTTGGGAAATAGGACAGCCACATGCAAAAGAATGATGGATCACCATCTTACACCATATACAAAACTAACTCAAAATGGATTAAAGATTGAATATAAGACCTGAAATCATAAAACTCCTAGAAGAAAACATATGCAGTAAGCTCCTTAACAGTGGTCTTGGTGATGAATTTTTGGATTTGACACCAAAAGCAAAGGCAACAAAAGCAAAAATAAATAAGTGAGACTTTTTCAAACTAAAAAGCTACTGCACAGCAAAGGAAACCATGAACAAAATGAAAAGGCAACCTACCAAATGGGAAAAAATATTTGCAAATCATATATCCAAAAGGGGTTAACATCTAACATATATAAAAAAACTCATGAAAGTCAATAGTAAAAAAAAAAAATCTGATTAAAAAATGGGCAGAGGCTCTGAATATTTTTCTGAAGAAGACATTACAGATGGCCAACAGGTACATGAAAGGGTGCTCAACATCACTAATCATCAGGGAAACTCAAACCAAAACCGCAATGAGATATCACCTTACATTTGTTAGAATGGCTATTATTGAAAAGATGAGAAATAGCAAGTGTTGGTAGTATGTGAAGAAAAGGGAACCCTCATGCACTGTTGGTGGGAATGTAAGTTGGTGCAGCCATATGGGAAACAGTATGGGAGTTCCTCAAAAAATTAAAAATGGAACTACCATATGCTTCAGCAGTTCTAGTTCTGGGTATTTATCTGAAGAAAGTGAAAACACTGACTCAAAGAAAAGATATCTACATCACCATGTTCATTGCAGCATTATTTACAATAACCAAGATATGGAAACAATCTAAGTGTCCATCAACAGATGAATGGATAAAGAAATATATATAATATATATATATATATGTGTGTGTGTATATATATGTATATATGCAATGGAATATTACTCAGCCACGAAAAAGAATGAAATCTTGCCATTTGCGATGGTATGGATTGACCTTTAGGGCATTATGCTAAGTGAAATAAGTCTCATAGAGAAAGACAAATACTGTATGATCTCACTTATGTGAGGAATCTAAAAAAAATAAAGAACAAAGCTCATAGATACAGAGAACAGATTGGTGGTTGACAGAGCTGGAGGGTAGGGGGTGGGCAAGTGGGTGTAGGGAGTCAAAAGGTACAAACATCCAGTTATACAATAAACAAGTCATGGGAATGTCACATACAGCATTGCAGCAATAGTTAATCCTGTATTGCATGTTTGAAAGTTGCTAAGAAAGTAAACCTTAAAAGTTGCCATCACAAGAAAAAATTCTGTAACTATATCTATATTCTGTAACTATATTAACAAAATGAAGTATATATTCTGTAACTATATTAACATATGTATGGTGACGGATGTTAATTAGACTTACTGTGATGATCATTTTGCAATATATGCAAATATCAAATTATGTTGTACACCTGAAATTAATATAATGTTTTATGTCATTATACCTCACTTTAAAAAAATGGGCTTTTATCTCAAAGCAGATGTTTTCAAAGAAATGTCATCTTCAGTTCTTCCAATAAAATGGAGGCTCTAAGCATTTATTGAGGTCATGTGACATATGTCAGCTGATCATAAGCTCTTTGGGTGGTGAACTGGTGTGACCTTGCTCCCTGGCAGCTATGAGTCTTGCTGTGACTAGGTTTCAGACAGACTCTTTACATACCATTTAAGCATTAGGCAGTGAATATGGGAAAACAGGAATCTTTTTCCTAAACTATGTAAACGTACATGTTAATATGTATGTGTGTATAAGATCACCTTCTTTGCTACATGCTTACTCTTAGATGTAATTTGTCTCTAATTCATATCCTCAAGGTATGAATAAATGCTGTAGTATTTATTTTAAATTGAATGTCTAATTTTTTAAATGGCTGTTCTTAGGTTAGGAATGTATCGTGAAGCAGAAAAACAATTTAAATCAGCCCTGAAGCAGCAGGAAATGGTAGATACATTTCTCTACTTGGCAAAAGTAAGTATTCTTAATTTGAGTGGAATTTGTCTTCTCAGGGTAAATGTTTAAATTCTGACAAGTGCATGGGGAGAGTTACCAGTTTCTTTAGGAATATTTGACAAGTTAATGTGTTCAGACTTAAGTTTTTTTTTTTTTCTTTTTTTTATAATAAGGGAACATGTGAGAACATACGGAGAATACCGATCTCAGGAAAAATTGGTTGCCGTGAAAAATAAGACAACACCTTTGAAATATTGCCCATTAGAACAGAAGAAAATGCCACAGGCTTACTACCCCCATGGGTAACAAGCCCCAGAGAGGCACTTTTCTGCAGCACACTTGTCTCCCACCTAAGCAGACTATAGAGAGCAGGGATTGTTTTTATGTAGGACCTTCACTCTTTGGCTGTGCCATTATTACAAAAACAATATTTCCCATTTACTGAGCACCTACTCAGTGGTAAGGTATTCTATCGGGCCTGTTCCATATGCAATTTAACCCTCATAGCAACACCATGAGGCAGATTTTAACATTTCCTTTGTACTCTTAAGGAAAGGGAGACTTAAAGAGGGTAACTAATATTTTCAAGCTCACTTGGCTATTTGCCAGCATTCAAACTCAGGCATTTCTGATTCCAGGGCTGACTTACTGCCCTGTAGTGCCATCTACAAACCACAACAGAAATGAAGGGCCACCTAGAATTTTCAGTATTGGAATAAAGTTACTTCTTTACCCTCACCAAGGCTACTTTAAAGAAACATTTGTTGAAGTGGTGGTTAGGATATCACCTTGCTATATCTTTAAGAATTTTTTAAATTTAAGAAGTGTGGTTAAAAAAAAAAAAGTGTGGTAAAGGAGGTTGAAAAGAAGATGAGCTATAAAAGGAAGTGCTACTACTTTCTAAATATGGTATTGCACTAATATGTATAAAATGGATAACTAATAAGAACCTGCTGTATAAAAAAATAAATAAAATAAAATTCAAAAAAATATGGTTTGCATACTAAAAAGAAACAAAATGGAAGTTCTACCATATAAACTTACTGTGATAATCTTAGTATGTTTATAGTGGTTTTTCAGAAATATTTGAAACTATCTGGTTCTAAGTATCTTCTATACATTATACGTTAAAATTCTTAAAGAGTTTTCTAAACTCTTTCTAGTTTTCTAAACATCACAGTAAACTTTTCTGACAGCTTGAAATTATAACTCAGGTCACAGTATTTGACTATCATCTTAATTGATAATCACTTGCCACGTGGTTAAAAAAATGTACTTTTTAACTATTGTTAAATATGACTAGAGTCATATTTAATAGTTCTAATTTGACTATTTTTTCATAAATTGATTTGTTTAAATCCACTGTTGCCTACATGACTATATAGAGGTACAATTTACTTATTTTCTTTAATATGTGAAGGAATTATTGCTCAGTAATAGAGACCAAGCAGATTTTAGGAACCACATTATTTCTTAAAATTTTAGATTGTTAATTTAAAAATTATTAAATATTTTATATTACTTAGTATATGGAATTATATACTCACTATATTTTAAAAAGCAGTTCAGAAGCATATAAGGTAATAATTGAAAAGTTTTCATCCATACCCTTCCCTCTAATCGCACACTTTAGCAGTAAACACTGCAAGCAGTTTTCTGTGTATCCATTTGGGCCTCTTCAAAGCACAATCTGCATGTTTAGGAAGAAACAGAGGATCCAAGATCATGAAGAAAAAAATGTCATAATCTTATGTTTCTATACATAAAACTATAATTCTCTTATTTTAGAAATTCCTAATAAGTATATGGTTTATCTACGCTAATGTTCCAGTTGCTAATTAAGCAGAAACTATCAAGTGCCAACCCTCTCACCTCCCTGACCCTGTACCCTACAAATCTGTTTCTCCTCTATTTCCGAGGGTCCTTCTCCCAAACCGCCATCTCCAGAGGCTCTCCCCGGCTGCCCCTTCTCAGACCTTCTTCCATGGGTCGTCCCCTGTTTCTCCAGCATCTTCAAAATCAGCCTCATAATTGGTCTTTAGTGCCAGCCTATAGATATACTTATGTCTGTTCCATCCTAGAAAGATTTTCCCTTGATCCTTTCTTTTCTAGTCCTGGCCAGTCTCTGTGACAATAGTAAGTCCACAGTAAGTGTTTGCTGAATGAATAAATGAATGAATGTTTCATATACAACATGTGGAGATAAAAGTATAGTATCATTATTGGAAATTAATCCAACAGATTTCTGAAACTTTTTTACTATAATATCTAGGAGATAATTTGTTACTAAGCAATAATTATAAACTTGTCATAACAAATGCTATTATTTTAAGAACCAGTACTTTTATCGAAATGTATCTTGGTTTTAGGTTTACATCTCATTGGATCAACCTGTGACTGCTTTAAATCTTTTCAAACAAGGCTTAGATAAGTTTCCAGGAGAAGTAGCCCTACTTTGTGGAATTGCCAGGATCTATGAGGTAAGGTTCATGTCCTTCAAAAAGTTGATGTAAGATTGAGGTTATATGCTACTTAAGTAAGGTCATAGTCCCTTGGGGTCTTATAAAGGATAACAGTTTATAAAATTATGATTGTTGGCCTGTGATTTACCAACAGAATAAGAGATTTTAGTGTATGCATTAGTCAAACCTAAGTTTTTATTATGAAGTATTTCAAACATATAGAAGGTATAGAGAATGGTATGAGATAGGGATTTAAATGTTTCTAATTTCAAATATCTTCTAACATAGAACAGTCCAAATAAAGGTCTGCCTTTCAAATGAATAAACAAAAGGCCCCAAGAAAAATTAAAACCACAACCAAATAAAATTCTCAAGGATAAATCATTTTAAACAAGTTTCTGTACAGAACAAGCAATGAACAATAGGCAGCACAACATGTTCATTTAGAAGAAACAAGACCAAAATGAAAGTGATAAATTAAAAAAAAGAACATAAAGGGAAAGAATCCCTCCAGAGAAAAGTATGATAGACATGCAGAAATCCCTTAAGGCATATGTTGTGTAGGCTGCAACGCTAAGGAACAAACTTTAGTAATTAACCCTCAATCCATTGTCACATAAGGAGAAAAGGAATACACTGGAAATCTTTGTATGGTAAACCTTATTTGAATTGTTCTATGTTAAAAGGTATTTGGAATGAGAAACATTACCCTAGGAAATATTATTCTTGTGGTCCTTGAACTTTACTGTGAATAGAAGTGACTTTGGGAGTGTTTTGAGAGTGAGGCCCATTTTCTGCCTTCTGAATCAGATGTCCTGGAAGGTGGGATGTAGATTTTTGTCTGCTTAGCAAGCTCACTAGGTGATTCTGAAGTATAACAGCGTTTGAGGATCATTGCAAAATTCACTTCCTTATTTGCAGTTTTGTTTTAAATAACTAAAAATCTAATTAGAGTTAATATTCTGTGAATTGGTTCAAAAATAACCACTAATAGCTACTATAAAATCACTTAAATGATACCACGGTTGTTTATACACTTGAAGTGACATTTATATGCTTGAAGATATTATTTAAAGGACAAAAATAGAATCTGTGTTTATTCATACATATGAAAATTTATGTGCTAAGATTGTCTATTAAACCAATTGGATTATTTAGTAGTTTAGAAATAGAGCTGGATGAGTAATGATTTCTTATACTAAAAGAACCCATTGCTACCAGGTGCCTCAAAGATTTAAAACCATGAATGTTCCAGAAGAAAATACAGATGAATTATCTGTATAAACTTGGAATGGGGAAGACCCTCCTGAACATGATACTAAGTCAGAAAGCCATAACAGAAAAAAATTGATAAATTTGAGAATGTAAAAGTTAACTTTTCTATATTGTAAAAACAAAAATACCAATAAAAGCAAACCCAAACAAAAAAAGGTAAAAATATCAAACAGGGCACATATTTGCCATACCTGGGACAGAAAAAAGGGCTTCTTTTCATTTCCTCAGTTTATACATTGCTTAACAATTGCTGGGTTTCAGGTGGTTTCCAATTGATGGAGAATTACACATAGACACATGCCTGTGCATGTGTCACACACTTATAAATTCTCATTTTGGTCAAGCATGTAAACACGGAAACTCGGTATTTCCTCAGAGCAGTTGTGGAGGTGAGATCACAGTGTGACCGTTGTTGTCCTTCCAGCCCACACAGTGGCTGCTGACCGTCTGCACGCCAGTAAAGTCCCCCCAGAGATGAGACAACAGCCAAACCCCAGCTGCATTTCAGCTACCCCGCTGCCCTTTCATACCGGCGCCGGTTAACACACATCTGGAACAACTCAACCAAACCATCTGTGCTTCTCCTCTGAAGGGAATGTTTATAAACACAGGGCCTCGCTGGGTTTTGAACTGAATTCAGCATCAGCACAGGTTCATTGCATCCAGAAGGAGAAAACGGTCGGTGTCCAGGGATCCCCGAGCTACAGTTGTATCTCCAGCTCTCCTGAGCCCAGGAGGGTGGTTTCCCATCCAAGCCCCTCATACACATAAACCAATAATAAAAGGACAAGAGACAGGATAAGAAAACTGGCAAAAGACACGAATCCACAATTCACAGAAAAAGAAATGTAAATACCTGGTGTGTTGAATGTCTAACCTCAGTAATGATTAAAGAAATAAAAATTCAAACAATAATGTCATTTTTTACTTAATCAGGTTAACAAAGATGAATAAGTTCCGTGGCATTTAAGGTTGTCAAGGGTGTGGAGGAACAGAGGTCATGTATGAACATTGTTGCTGGAAGTGTACATTGGTACAAGCCATTTAGAGGCTATTTGTAATTACTTATGAGATTTTTAAACATGCATTTAAATTTATTTAACATCAGCACGTGTTTTATAATAACAAGTTTGAAAAACTGCATGTAAGGTTGTCAAAAACATGTTAGTTTCAGTCTAAAATTCCTAGAGAATACATAAATTAAGTCCATGCCCATCAATCAAGTATACAAACATTCTAAGATGTTCTTTTTTTTTCTTTTTTATTGAAGTATAGTTGATTTACAATATTGTCTTAATTTCAGGTGTACAAAACAGAAACAGACTCACAGACATAGAAGACAGACTTAGGGTTACCAAAGGGGAGAGGGACTGGGGGAGGAACAAATTAGGAGTATGGGATTAACAGATACAGACTACTAAAGTAATTTTATAGAACTGAAAGCCTTGAAACAATTGACCATTGAGGCTGGAGTCTTCTTTGAATTGGACATTACCACCTGTTTCAGACTGAGTTATGTCCCCTCCCCCTACCTCCCAATTCATATGTTGAAGCCCTAACCCCCAATGTGAGGGTATTTAGAGATAGGGCCTTTGGGAGATAATTAGGATTAGGTGAGCTCACGAGGATAGGGCCCTTGTGATGAGATTAGTGCCCTTATAAGATGAGACAACAGAAAGCACTTGAACCCTCTCTCTCTGTCTCTGTTTCTCTCTCTCTCATGAGAGGACACCGTGAGAAGGTGCAAGCCAGGAAGACAGTCCTCACTAGAACTCGACCATGCTGACACCATGATCTTGGACTTCTAGCCTCTAGAACTGTGAGAAAATAAACTTCTATTGTTTAAGCCGCTCGGTCTATGGTATTTTGTTATGGCAGCCCAAGCAGACTAATACACCAAGTTTGGCAGCTGTAACACTGAATGAAGCCTTGTACTGTGGGGTGCTGTTGCCCTGGAAACCAGATAAGTCATGTTCAGGGGGCCCCATGGTTCATGGGGCCATTAAGGCTCACTGGTCAGGTCACATCCTGAGTGTGAAGATTATTCTTTGGAAGGAGAAAGTCTTAGTCTGCTCGGGCTACTATAACAAAATACCATAACCTGGGTGACTTAAACAACAGAAATTTATTTCTCACAGCTCTGGAGGCTAGGAAGTCAAGATCAAGGTGCTGGCCATTTCAGTTCCTAGTGAGGGATCCTCCTGGTCTGGATACCTTCTTGCTCTATCCTTACATGGTGGAGAGAGAGATCATCTCTCAGGTGTCTCTTCTTTAAGGGCATTAATCCCAATTATGAGGGCTCCACACTCATGTCTTAATTACTTCCCAAAGGTTCCACCTCTAAATACTATCACATTGGGGATTAGGGCTTCAATATGCATTTTGGGAGGACACAAACAGCCCATGTCAGGGAAGGACTTATTGTACGTATAGGGGTGGGGATTACAGGGTGATGAGTTCAGATACTCATTTGTTGTTTCCTTTTAGTTTTACAAGGCTTTTGTTTTACCAAAAAATAGAAAATATACTTCTATTGAAATTATTTTTTATACTTTTCAATTGGTTCTTATGTTCTTAAAATATTAAGAACATGGAATAGTTGTGTATAAAAGCAGTGTAGAATTCAGGAGAAAATTAACTCAGAGTTAACTAACAAATATATCAACATCCCTGTGTTTTGAAAAAAGTTTAGTTATTTTTCAGCTATAAGCAATGAATGAAAAAGCCTCTTCTCTTTAGGAACCAAATCCTGGAAGCACTTTGAATAAGAATTTCAAATATAAAGCATGTGAAAATATATATATAAAGCATGAGTTTGGATCAATCTGTGGATGTTATATCAGGGTTTTATGGGACTAATAAATAACACTCCTGTTTCTCCAATTTGAGAACCAACTGAAAAATAGATACAAGATTCACATAAATGGAGGATAAACCATTAATTTTATTATTGATAAAAGCAGAATTGGAGCATGTGGCTCTAGATTATGACCAAAAGGACTTAATATTGTTCTATCTCTGAGTTACACAGACTAATCCATCCTGTCACAGACATGAGCGTACCCTACCCAGGAGAGCCTGCTCTACACAGCAGGGCAGAGAATGTGGGCATCTTATAGGAAAGTTGACTTCTAAAGAGACCCAGAAGGGGCTGAGACAGCCATACTCATTTGCCTCATGGGAATGAGGGAATGAGTGGGAAGAAAGGCCCCCAAATCATTCTAATTATCAACATTTCTCAAAGTGTGGTTCAGAGATTCCTGGGGAAGTCCCTTCTAGGAGTCTATAGGGTCAAAACCATTTTCATAATACTAATAGTATTGATGAAATTGGTGATAAATTTAATAGATATAATTTTTTAATTGAGATATAGTTGATATACAATACTGTATAAGTTATAGGTGTACAACATAATAATTCACAATTTTTAAATGTTATACTCCATTTATGATTATAAAATATTGGCTGTATTTCCTGTGTTGTACAATATATTCTTGTAGCTTATTTTATACATAATAGTTTGTGTCTCTTAATCCCCTGTCCCTGTCTTGCCCATCCTTCCTTCCCTCTCCCCACTGATAACCACTAGTTTGTTATCTATATCTGTGTCTGTTTCTTTTTGTTATATTCACTAGTTTGTTGTATTTTTTAGATTACCTATATAAGTGACATCATATAGTATTTGTCTTTCTCTGAGTTATTTCATTATGCATAATACACTCCAAGTCCATTCATGTTGTTGCAAATGGCAAAATTTCACTCTTTTTTATGGCTGAGTAGTATTCTATTGTGTGTGTGTGTGTGTGTGTGTGTGTGTGTGTGTGTGTGTATAATCACATCTTCTTTATCCATGCATCTGTTGATGGACATTTAGGTTATTTCCATATTTTAGCAATTGTATGAACTTTGGGGTGCATGAATTTTTTCGAATTAGTGTTTTTGTTTTTGTTTTTTTCAGATATATACTCAGGAGTGGAATTGCTGGGTCATATGGTAGTTGTATTTTTAGTTTTTTGAGAAACCACCATACCGTCTTCCACTGTGGCTGCACCAATTTGCATTCTGACCAACAATGTACGAGGGTTCCCTTTTCTCCACATCCTTGCCAGCATTTGATAGTTATGGTCTTTTTGATGACAGCCATTCTGACAGGTGTAAGGTGATATCTCATTGTGGCTTTAATTTGCATTTCTTTGATGATTAATGATATTGAGCATCTTTTCATGTGTATGTTGGCCATCTGAATGTCCTCTTTGGAAAAATATCAATTCAGGTCTTCTGCCCATTTTTTAATTGGGTTGCTTATTTTTTGATGTTGAATTGTATGAGCTGTTTATATATTTTGGATACTAACCACTTATCAGTCATATGAGTGGCATATATTTTCTGCCATTCATTAGGTTGTCTTTTCATTCTGTCAGTGGTTTCCTTTGCTGTGCAAAAGCTTTTAAGTCTATTTAGGTCCCATTTGCTTATTTTTCCTTTTATTTCCTTTGCTTTAGGACAGCGGCCCCCAACCTTTTTGGCACCAGGGACCAGTTTCGTGGAAGATAATTTTTCCACAGATGGGGGCGGGGGGGTGGTTCAGGTGGTAATGCGAGTGATGGGGAGCAATGGGGAGCTGCAGATGAAGCTTTGCTCACTCGCCCACTGCTCACCTCCTGCTATGTGGAGCAGTTCCTAACAGGCCACGGACCGATACTGGTCCATGGCCTGGGGATTGGGGACCCCTGCTTTAGGAGACAGATCCAAAAAAATATTGCTACGATATATGTCAAAGAGTGTTCTGCCTATGTTTTCTCCTAGGAGTTTTATGGTTTCTGGTGTTACATTTAGGTCTTTAATCCATTTTGAGTTTATTTTTGAATATGGTGTGAGAAAATGTTCTAATTTCATTCTTTTACATGTAACTGTCCAGTTTTCTCAGCACCACTTATTGAAGAGACTGTCTTTTCTTCATTGTATATTCTTGCCTCCTTTGTGGTAGATTAATTGACCATAAGTACCTGGTTTTATTTCTGGGCTCTCTATTCTGTTCCATTGATTTATATGTCTGTCTGGTTTTGTGCCAGCACCATACTGGTTTTGTTTGTTTGTTGTTGTTGTTTTTGGCTGCACCGTGCAGCTTGCGGGATTTCCCTGACCAGGGATCCAGGGATTGAACCCAGGCCACCACAGTGAAAGCCCAGAATCCCAATCACTAGGCCACCAGGGAAGTCCACCATACTGTTTTCATTACTGTAGCTTTGTAGTATAGTCTGAAGTATGATTCCTCCAGCTCTGTTCTTCTTTCTTAAGATTGTTTTGGCTATTCAGGGTCTTCTGTGTCTCCATACAAATTTTAAAATTATTTTTTCTAGTTGTGTGAAAAATGCCATTGCTATTTTGATAGGGATTGCATCAAACCTGTAGATTGCCTTGTGTAGTATAGTCATTTTAACAGTATTTATTTTTCCAATCCAAGAACATAGTATATCTTTTCATCTGTTTGTGTCGTCTTCAATTTCTTTCATTAGTGTCTTATAGTTTTCCAAGTATAGATCTTTTACCTCCTTTGATAGGTTTATTCCTAGTATTTTATTCTTTTTGTCACAATGGTAAATGGGATGTTTCTTTAATTTCTCTTTCTGATAGTTTGTTGTTAGTGTATAGAAATACAACAGATTTCTATGTATTAATTTTGTATTCTGTAATGTAACTGGATTCATTGATGAGCTCTAGTAGTTTTCTGGTGGTGTCTTGAGGAATTTCTATGTATAGTCTCATGTCATCTGCAAACAGTGACAGTTTTACTTCTTCCTTTCCAATTTGGATTCCTTTTATTTCTTTTTCTTGTCTGGTTGCTGTGGCTAGGACTTCCAACTCTGTGTTGAATAAAAGTGGTGAGAGTGGGCATCCTTGTCTTGTTCCTGATCTTAGAGGAAATGCAGAAATCTTCAACAAAATATTAACAAACCAAATCCAACAATACATTAAAAGGATCACACCATCATCAAGTGGGATTTATCCCGGGGATGCAAGGATTTTTCAATATTCGCAAATCAATCAATGTGATACACCACATTAACAGATTGAATACTGAAAACCATATGATCATCTCAATAGATGCAGAAAAAACTTTTGAGAAAATTCGGCATCCATTTATGATAAAAACTCTCAAGAAAATGGGCATAGAGGAACATACCTCAACATAATAAAGTCCATATATAACAGACCCACAGCTAACATCATACTCAGTGGTGAAAAACTGAAAGAACTTCCTCTTAGACAGTTGTTCATTTGTTTGTCTTCCTACCAGATGTAACCTCCTTGAGGACAGTACAGCCGTCTTTCCGTATCCAGGGGGGATTGGTTCCAGGACCCCTTGGTTGCCAAAATCCATGGACGCTCAAGGCCCTTATATAAAATGGCATAGGATTTGCATAGAACCTACCCACATCCGTCTGTGTACTTTAAATCATCTCTAGATTGCTTATAATACCTAATACAATGTAAATGCTATATAACTAGCTATAAATACAATGTAAATGCTATATAAATACTTGCTAGTGCAGCAAATTCAAGTTTTGCTTTTTGGAATTTTCTGGAATTTTTTTCTGAAAATTTTTGATCTGTGGCTTGTTGAAATCGTGGTTACAGAACCTGCAGATACAGAGGGCCGACTGTAATTTTATCTTATTGTTCACATTGTGTCCCCAGGGCCTAGAACAGAGTCTGGCATATGGTAGGCTCTTAATAAATATTTAATTGAATAAAATAATCTAAACCAGTCAGAATAAAAATAATTTCTTGTCCAATATTAATATAGTATTGCTCTTCTGTCTTGATGGAGAGTAGGAAATGAACAACATTTCATCAGCCACTGAATACTACAAAGAGGTTTTGAAACAGGACAATACTCATGTGGAAGCCATTGCATGCATTGGAAGCAACCATTTTTACTCTGATCAACCAGAAGTAGCTCTCCGGTTTTACAGGTGCACTTTACATTCAATTTGTAGAACTGCTTTCCTATGAAATAGTGATGCAACAGTAATAAAGATGGGATGAAAATGTAGAGAAATAATGTTTAGGCCATGTCTATATGAGACTAAAAATTCAAGCACCCAGATGTTTTATGAATATTAAAGCTATATCTAATAATTTGGAAATGCACAAGTATTTGGCATCTTGCAGAAACACACCTGGATAATTGCCTGAGTTTTAAACACCTTGTCATTGTATAAATTGGCTGTTTTGTTATCCACCAATAACAGGTTAACAGTTCCTAGAAGCACTTCCACATCACTGCCTCCATTAATACCACTGTACATAATATCAAGACCCTGAAGGTAAAATAGTAATGTGATTTGCAAAGAGCAGTGGGCCCCAGGCCCTAATCCTGATGAGGACCTTAAACAGGATTCCGGTTTTGTGAAGTATTGTCAACTCTTGTCCAAATATTTTTTCAAAATCTAAACAAATTATTCTCACTGGTTCTTTGAACACGTACTTATTTTATCCTATAGATGGTTCCTGAAATTAATTTTTAAATTATGATTTCCTCTTTAGCCCCTGGGTAGTATACAAGGAGATAACTGGCAGCTGACAAGAGTTCTTTCCAAATATATGTTGAAGCAAAAAACAATAATATGAATGTAGCCTGTGCACATACAGCTGACTCCACTCGCCTACCCCCATGGGTTCCTCGGGGCAGCTGGGGTGATTTTCATATGCTTATTTGAACTCTCATCCTTTGGGATTAATGACACATAGAAGCAAAATGAGGTTCTTGAGCTGCAGTATGAAAGCTAAGTGGATAACACGGGGATCCTCTGACAATCTTGTCTTCCTGAGTAGAAGCTCATCGGAGGTCGTTAGATGCAGCTAAACCACACAATACAAATAACCAAAAACAGCATCCAACTCAGCTGAAAACTTGGCGGTAAATGCTAAACACAGGCCTCAAATTTGACTAGAAGCTCTTAGAAATTTACCTACAAGCACCAAAGCTGTATGAGGCAAAAATGTGTGGGTTTTACTTTATGTGACTATTTATTGATTATTTTGATTCTCTAACAAAGCTTTTGGGGGAAAAAAAAGTGATGTAAGTTATTTCTGACCTTGCCTCTGGATGCATTTCCTATGACTAGTACCATTACAAAAGACATGCTTTTGTATTTGTTCTAAAATATTTTTCATTTACTATAATACTTTATGTTCTTTGGAGGGTATTAAAAATTATAAAGTGAATTCATTTCTAACTTTGTAAAAAATATGTCTTAATATTTATAAAGTTGGTCTGACACCAAACTATGTGTGCTCTTTTTCCAAAAGGCGACTCCTGCAGATGGGTGTCTATAACTGCCAGCTTTTCAACAACCTGGGGCTCTGTTGCTTCTATGCCCAGCAGTATGATATGACTCTGACCTCATTTGAACGTGCCCTTTCTCTGGCTGAAAATGAAGAAGAGATAGCTGACGTCTGGTACAACTTGGGACATGTAGCTGTGGTATGGTGTTTCTGTAATATAATTTCTGTAATAGAGAAGGTAGGCACATGTTAGTTTGAAGAAGTTTTCAGATATTGGAAATCCAGGTTTGGTTACAGTCTTTGTAGCAATTTGGAGATTGCTAGGGGTCACTGCAGCTCATTTTATCTTCTTAGGTTAAATCCTCTTGTGTACAATTCACACTTGACTCCTGTGTTGTTCCTATGTTGTTTAGTCTGTGGTGGCCACAAGATTTGTATGAGGAAAGGAGGACGGAGGTGGCGGGGGAAGTGAATGGATTTGTGTGTACGAGTTTGTGCTTTTCTTTTGTAGGGAATAGGAGATACAAATCTGGCCCATCAGTGCTTCAGGCTGGCTCTGGTCAACAACAATAACCACGCAGAGGCCTACAACAACCTGGCCGTGCTGGAGATGCGGAAGGGCCATGTCGAACAGGTCAGTGAACTACTGGGTTACTGTGGACAGTCTTCTTTCTTCAAAGAAAAGCTGTCACGTGCAGCTCTCTTTACATTATAATTTTAAAATGAGTTCTGGAGTCTGACTGGCCTGGGTTTGATCCCAGCTCTGTCACGTGTTAGCAGTGTGACCTTGGACAAGTTACTTAACCTTTCAGTATCCAAAATAGAGCACTTGATTTTATTAGGACAAATCTGCACCTCCCCAGGCTTCCCTGTCTTCGTGAACTGTTCCACCACTCACACCGCCCCACATCCGCCATCCAGCTGCTCAAGCCAAAATCCTAGGACCCACCCTCGAAACCTGTCTTTTCTGAGTGCCTTCCCTGCCACCCTTTGCCTCCGTGCTGTCCAGTGAGCCCTGTCAGTTCTACCCCCACCTCTTCAGTCCTCCCCTCCCAGCTCCCTTCTCCAAGCTGCTCTCATCTCCTGCCTGGGTGACTACAAGGGTCTCCTAGCTCTTGCTTTTGTTTCCACTTCCATCAGCAAGTAGGCGCACCCTATAATACATCTCCCTCAGAGCAGCCCAGAGCAGGGGTCCCCAACCCCTGGGCTGAAGCCTGTTAGGACCCGGGCGGCACAGCAGGAGGCGAGCGGCGGCTGAGCGAGCGAAGCTTCATCTGCCATTCTGCATCGCCTCCATCGCTTGCATCGCCGTCTGAACCATGCCCCCCTCCCTCACCCCCGCCCGTGGAAAACCTGTCTTCCACAAAATCGGTCCCTGGTGCCAAAAAGGTTGGGGACCGCTGGCCTAGAGGATATTTTTAAAAAACAAGATTATTTTATTACTACGTTGCTTAGCATCCTCCAAAGGCTTCTCCCTGCACTTGGAATAAAATTTGAACTTCAAACCTTAGCCTACGGGGCCCCACCTAATCTAGCCTCTGGGTCCCACCAGACTGTATCTTTTGCCACTACTCCTTCACTACTGACTTCCAGAAACATTAGCTGCTTGCTGCTGGGCAGTGCCTGTTCTTACTGTAGTGCCTTTGGAAAATACTTTCGGATCCTGAAATGACTCTTTTCTTTTTATCATTCAGGTCTTAGCTTAATTACTGCCTTTTTAGAAAGACCTGCTTGAACATCAGTCTAAAGGAGCCCTCAGGTGCTATCACATCTCCTACTATTTTTTTCTTCACAGTACTTAACATTTTACCAGATATTTTCATCTTTATGTGTAGAATGCTAGCTGCATGAAAGCAGGGACCTTCTCTGTCTTCTAACTGCTATATTTTCAGTATCGAAAACATTGCCTGACACTTGGTAGGTGCTTAGTATTGGTGGAATGAGTGGATCATAAATAAAATAGGGTAATAACAGTACTGACCCGAAGGTCTCCTTGTGAAGATGAGCAGATCGTGCATGCAAAGCCCTTGGTGTAGTAAAAGCACAGGATAGATGCTTAATAAATTGTATTATTATTACTGTTATTATTTACATAACAAGTTTAAAATTCTGAATACACTCTTACAATATTAATGGCAATCAACATCGATAGATATTACATTCTCTGTTTTACAGATGAAGAAACAGACTAGAGGAGGGTAAGTAACTACCCAAGGTCACAGACGTAGTGAGCAGCACGCCAGGATGTTAACCTCCAGCCTGGTCTCCTAAGCACGTTGATAAACTTAATAAAACAAGCAAAGAAACATCACTGGATGCTGCCTTTGTTTCACAAAATTTTCCCGAAGTAAATAAGATGGATTTGTATTTTTTAAACAAAAACTAACTACTTTAAACCGGGAACTTGTTCTGTCATAGAACTTTGCCTGTGTCCATCTGAAGCAAGTGTTCTTTATGATTTTCTCTGTTTCCATGTTGGTGATTTTCTTTCCCTCCTACTTACTGTAGTTTCTCCAGCATACAATTGATTTGAAATGTTTTGGTGAAGGGTTTCATTATTATTAAAAATTATAGCTCAATTTAAAAAAATAGCAAATCATAAAACAAAAAAATTAATATCCACCATCCTATTTAAACTATTATTTATTTTCCATTAAAAAAAAGATAAAAGAATTTGTCCTCAGCGTCATACATAGAAGATCGGCTACAAGTTGAAAGGCTGTTCGGCAGCTTGGAATGCTGAGTTTGTGATCTTAACAATGAGTGTACGGGCATCTCGTGTCTCTCAGTGGTCTCTGCAATGTGTGATCCTTTGAGTCTAGAGGGGACAAAAAAATGATGTGAATTTTGTCTTTTGAGTACTTTAGAGAACAGAAAGCTTGTCATTTTCAGTCGCCTTCAGTTGTCATTTTCAGGTCAGCAGTATAATAAATGCTTGCTCAGTGTCATCCAGCACAGAAATTGGGGATTTGAATTTACAATGGTTTTTTGGTGGTTTTTGTTGTTGCATTAGAGAACAGGTAATTAGAAGCCTACTAAATCAATCAACATCAACAAAAACTAGATTAATAAGACTTTTTAGCATTGAGAGCATTATTTTTCAATTGTACATCATACTGAAATATAAACTTTGTAAGATCAGTGTTTCTCACATAACTTTTGGATTCCATCATTTTTCCCACATTTTGAAGCATTTTATTATTAATATAATTTTGGCAAGATATAGGTAGTTCCTGGTTATCAGTAAGTTGTATTTCATGAGGAATTCATCTTATTTATTACAGGGTTATGTTTATTAAAGTCCTATCCTGGGTAAAGTATTCTTTTACCAAAATAAACAAAAAAAATCACAAATACAGTGCTAATATATGCTCATATAGCTTTGGTTTCTCTTTTCTTTCCTTTTTTTTTTAACACAGGCAAGAGCACTGTTACAAACCGCTTCATCTTTAGCACCCCACATGTATGAACCGCATTTTAATTTTGCAACAGTTTCTGATAAGGTATTCTCTTTCTTTGTCAATTTATCATCTGACCTGTTTGTTTTTATTTCTTGCTTTTAAAAAAATGTGCAGTTAAATAAGGACATTCTACCCATAACTTCCTGAGAGATTATTTTTTTCAACACTTAATTATTATGTACACATATGTCTTCACTTCGAGGGACAGTTTAATACACTTTAAGTATATTTATCACTGAATATTAGCTAAACTTAACACCATTATAGATTGCAGAAGAATTATTTTATGTTTTCAAATATGACATTTAATCATTGAAAAACTATTCATTAACTCCTGGTTTGGGAAGGATTTAGTAATTAGCGTTTGCAGCAAGGAAATCCTGTATATTATTTGTAGGTCATATTGCCATCAAGTCTGGCATGATGCTGTAAAATTAGGGATATTAGTGAAAGCTGTTTTAGCTATGAACAATATGGGAAAAATGCAACCACTGATACTGTGTTACAAGTCAGTTAACATCCAAGAGCTAAAAGGAATCATGTGCCATTTTAACAATAAGAGGAAACAAACAAAAGTCATCTAATGACTTTTACTTGGAAACCTTACTTTAACATGGAAGGTGAGTTTTGAGGATAAGGAAATGGCTAAAAATGTTTGCTGATGTAAAGACTCTTTCTTTATAGACCAAAAGACATTATAAAAATCATTTTTCATAGCATGAATGTGAAGTCATTTGCACTTTCTGTTTTGAAAATAAAATAAGCTGTTATTCATAAGTTGTCATTTTTGAGTGCGTGTTAAGTGCGGGCCACTGTTCCAGGTGCTCTCTGAACCGCTAATTCTCTCAACAACCCTGCAATGTAGGTAACACTTACCTCCCCTACTCATTTTTTCATGCAACTGATGTTTCATTTGTTGAGCCTCTGCTACGTACTGGGCACTGTTGTCAGCACAGAGGATGTTAGCAATGAGTAAAACAGAAACCTGTACCTCATGCAGCTTATATTCTAATGGAACCCAGGGCTTCTGGAACTTAAAAGACTTCCCTGGAGTCCCATGGCAGAATTCATGCCCAGCTCCCAAGGATTCCCACATATTTTCCACTGCACTGTGTTGCCACTTAGTTAAGCCACAAAGAAGCCTTGATTACTTTCTTTCAGGACTATTATTACATTTTAATAATATATAATGCAAATGAAATATTTCTTTAAGCCAAAGGCTACATTTCCATAAGAGAAAATTGCATGTTGAAAAGAAATGCTATGATTTAAAAAGGGAAACTTACGTTTTTAATTCATATGCATGTTACCAAAAAACTACCAGAAGTGAATGATCTAGATTTGTTTTGTTTTTTTTTGGTGTGTACACACTGAAAAGCTTTCTCTTTGTAGAAATGTATACATGAATCAAGATACATTCAGATGGATTCGGTTACTGTGTGTGTTTTCCTTGGGGACTGGACTTTAACACAAAGTTTATTGAAAATCAGATATGTCGGGCTTCCCTGGTGGCACAGTGGTTGAGAGTCCGCCTGCCGATGCAGGGGACATGGGTTCGTGCCCCGGTCCGGGAAGATCCCACATGCCGCGGAGCGGCTGGGCCCGTGAGCCATGGCCGCTGAGCCTGTGCGTCCAGAGCCTGTGCTCCACAATGGGAGAGGCCGCGGCAGTGAGAGGCCCGCGTACCGCAAAAAAAAAAAAAAAGAAAAAAAAGAAAAGAAAATCAGATATGTCCTTTATAAACTTTTAAAACCAGGTTATCTGCCCAACATTACTGTGTTAGCAACCATTTAAAAGCTCCCAGAGCATGTTATTGTATCTTAAATACAATAGTTTTTACTTGAATTTTCTGTCTAAAAGATAATACCCTAATCAAAATATGTCATTGTCTGTGGTACATTACAAATAGTTTTCTTACTGAGCTGGCTGTTTTAGCATGCAGACATCAGTTTATTTTTATGATAATTATCAGTGACAGGAAAAGAAAACACAGGTTTATGAATTCATATCAAGACAACTGTAATAGAGCAGAAATTATTTATTAATTGGTTATTTTACTTTTCTCATATTTTTTCAAGATTGAGTTGTAATCTAGGTGAAAAAAATTTTAAATCAAAGTAGCACAATTAAGCAATTCACCTTGGGTTTCTACATTGTGCAGATACTATGTCTTTTTTTTTTTTTCTGGTTCTCATTCTGTGGTCTTACTCTGGTCTGGTCTTTCTTACAGATGGGAGATCTACAGAGGAGCTACATTGCTGCTCAAAAGTCTGAAGCAGCATTTCCAGATCACGTGGACACTCAACATTTAATTAAGCAGTTAAAGCAGCATTTTGCTATGCTCTGAGTTTTCCTCAGACTAAAGATATTCTTAGGGAGGAACATTATGCAAGGGAAAAAGTAGTGTATATATATGTGTAGTACAGACCTGTGCTTGATATTAGCGAAGGTGACATAAGGAAATCTAAACCAGAATGTTTAAAACTTTATAATAATAACTTTATAAGGTAATGTTATAAAAGACAGGATTTAAGCATTTGTAAGCAGATTATGAAACCTCCCACATTATATGGTAGATGTTTGTTTATAATGTTTACAAAACATTTTCATGAATTTCCTCAAATTTTTATAAATGCACATTTTTAATGTCCTGGCCATTAGCTATCATGTAGCTTAAGAGGTCTGAAATCTGCCTTTAAAATTGCACTTTTATGACTAAAAGTGTATATACTTGTCCTTGGTAGAGACTTTAGAGATTAAAATTTGTACTTAAAGCTATTTTTTATCAAATGCTTTGTGAGACACTCTACTTTTTCTTATATATTATGCTTTAAAATAAATGTGTATAAAACACCATCATTCCGTTATTTTTCAGGAGTTTTTATTTCAGTCATCTCAGTTAAAAAAAGTTTTCCAGAAGTCCAGGAGTCTTAGAAATCAAGTCTTTATTCTAATTTTATTTGAAATGATGTACGATCAATTTTGCTTTTTCCTGAGAAGCTATTTATGGGCTATCATGTTGTCAATATAAGAATATCAGTATTAAAAATGGAGTCATAGGCCAGAAGTCCCCTGTGGTCAGCCCTGAGAAGGCTAGGCTGGACCCAATACTGTGCGTTGTAAAATCCTAGACAGGCTCTCCTCTCCAGTATTTAGTGGAATTCTCATTGAAGTTCAGTTCATACAACAAAGTGCGTTAAAGGGCCAAGGCCAGTCATTCATATTTTGGGCTTTGGGCTCTATCTCTGTTACTTTACCTTTTTTTAACTTTATGAAAACTATTTTACAGGTATTTATTTGTTTCTGTTCAGATTATACAAATAGTACTACTTAGCTGACAGAACACAAAAAATGTGAATTCAAGGAATAGATTGTTTGAGGCTGGAAGTAATTTCAGAGACTATGTAGATGAATCTCTCCATGGGACAGGAGGAGGCCACGCCCAGAGTCACACTGCTGGTTGGTAAGGCTGGAAACAAGACCTGCTCCTGCACTTCAGGCTTGAACCTCCCCTGGTTCTCCATGATATGCCAGTGCTCGTTCAGCTTGCGAGAATTTCCTCAAGCATGATCAGATTTCCTAACACTGTATGCAATATTTAGGTTCAAATTTTATATTGTGAATTATTTTCTTAGTTAATTTAAAATAAGAACTAATAACAGTGGCTAGCGTTTACTGAGGATGTTGTATGTACCCAGCACTGTTCTGGAGCCCTTGATATGGAGTAATTCATTTAATTCCCATTGCAGTCCTATGAAATGCTGTTACTCCCATTTTACTCATGAAAAAAATGAGCCACAGAGCAGTCAAATTACGTGCCCAAATTCTAAAGCTATTAAATGGCGGAGCTGGGATTCAAATGCACATTTAATACAGCGGTTAAGAGCACATACTCGGGAGCCAAATGCACATTATTTATAAAGGAATGGGTATAAGGGTAACAGCAGATTTCTGTGTGGCCCTGAGTATGTGTTCTTAACTACTATGTCAAATCTCCTCTTAGTGTTTCTCCTGTAAATAAAGCTACTGTTGTTTAAAATGAATGTTACATGCATTAGTAAAGTTGAATTATAAGGGACTATTAACACAGCAAAAAAATTAATGAGCCAGCATTCCTAAGGTGATATGGAGAGATTTTTGTCTTGAATTTATGTTAATTCAATGTGAACACCAATGCAAAGAATGAGTCAGGATGGCTAAGGGCAGAATGATGACATAACACTGCATCAGAAGCTACATATATTTTGTAGCAAAATTATTTCTGGACCGTATAACTTCTGGCTTCTGTGCCAACGTTTCTATATCAGGAAGGTTAACAATTGTCTTCTACCATGATTAAAAAAGTGTTCTATCCATATATAAATTGTTCAGCCGAAACTAACATTATTGGGCTTCCAGCTGATGAAAACGAGATATGGCAAGAAGGCTGCCTACAATGAATAATGCTGAGGTTAGAAGTTCTTCCTTTCCAAAAGGGTCACATCTGAACCAGTTCCCTATGGTACCACTGTTCTTTTACATTTCTGAATGGTATTTCCCTGGATCAGATCACCCATCAGGATATAATTTATGACCTAGAAATAGGAAAATTAATAAAGATAACACATTACTATAGTTTCCACCACCAACTCTTTATTAATATGAGGGATTTAAAATTTTATTTATTTATTTATTTTTGGCTGCATTGGGTCTTCGTTGCTGCGTGCAGGCTTTCTCTTGTTGCGGCAAGTGGGGGCTCCTCTTCGTTACGGCACGCAGGCTTCTCATTGTGGTGGCTTCTATTGTTGTGGAGCATGGGCTCTAGGTGCGCGGGCTTCAGTAGTTGTGGCTCGCGGGCTCTAGAGCACAGACTCAGTAGTTGTGGCGCACGGGCTTAGTTGCTCCGCAGCATGCGGGATCTTCCCGGACCGGAGCTCGAACCCGTGTCCCCTGCATTGGCAGGCGGATTCTTAACCACTGCACCACCAGGGAAGACCAATATAAGGGATTTTTATCAAGAGCTTTCAGCTGGAATTGAATTTAAGCATTCAGAAAAATAACAAAGATTTTAGAACTACCACAGGAGGACTCAGTCTTGGAAAATAATGAACCCAGAAATTAAGTTTTGGTAAAAGGCCATCACTGGATAGTTTTAAATTCTAGGGAATAGGCAAGTTGGAATGATCTATGGATATGTTCCAGAGTTCTAAAATGGTTATCTAGGCTCAGATATTAGGGGGAAAAGTTTATCTATTGATTTGAAAATAACCACAGTTGTACATCCTTCCATATTGATGGCCTTGGTCCTATTTTTGGCTGACTAAAATTTTAACATTTTTGAGAGATGCTGTCATTTTACGTCCTCAGTATTAAAGCCCAATTCTGGAGATAAAAGAATAAGGATTACATAATGATTAAATTATAACCCGTGGAGGCTATATTTCTTGCAATGTGATACTTTCCCTTACCTGAATCCTGACTAATAAGGAGTAATTGGTAAAATGTAAATGATGGGAACTCTCGGAGAGAGCCACCACGTTATCTTAGGGAAGAAAAGGTCATATTTAGACAGATATTAGGAAGAAATATTTTTCCTGTTTTAAATCAGAGAAGATAGATCTTCTTCCAGTGTTTGAAACTCAAGTTTCTATGGGCTCCAACATTTTCTCTCTACTGGATTTTCTCTCTTTCTCCTTTTTAAAACATCACAGTTCCTGTAAACCTTCCCCTTTCTAGAACTCCATTATCTCCTTTGTCAGAACATCTTGAAAGGGCAGGTGATGTTTGTTGCCTACTTCCTCATCTTCCATTTGTTTCTTGACCCGCTTCAGTCTGGCTTCAACCCCTACCACTACTCAGCTGCTCTCACTGAGGTCATTAATGACTGTCATTAACAAATCCAGAGTTGTTGTTCTTTTTTTTAACATAACAGTTTTTAAAGATAATATTCATGTACCACACAATTCTTGCTTTTAAAGTGTGCCATTTATGGCTTTTAACATATGCACAGTTAGGCAACCATCACTATAATCAATTTAGAAACACTTTTGCTATGCCCAATAGAAACTTCATATCCATTAACAGAATTTGTTCATTATTATTATTTTTTAACATCTTTATTGGAGTATAATTACTTTACAATGGTGTGTTAGTTTCTGCTTTATAACAAAGTGAATCAGTTATACTTATACATATGTCCCAATATCTCCTCCCTCTTGCATCTCCCTCCCTCCAACCCTCCCTATCCCATCCCTCTAGGTGGTCACAAAGCACCCAGCTGATCTCCCTGTGCTATGCGGCTGCTTCCCACTAGCTATCTATTTTACATTTGGTAGTGTATATATGTCCATGCCACTCTCTTACTACGTCCCAGCTTACCCTTCCCCCTCCCCGTGTCCTCAAGTCCATTCTCTAGTAGGTCTGCGTCTTTATTCTCGTCTTGCCCCTAGGTTCTTCATGACCATTTTTTGTTTTTGTTTTTAGATTACATATATCTGTGTTAGCCTACGGTATTTGTTCTCTTTCTGACTTACTTCACTCTGTATGACAGACTCTAGGTCCATCCACCTCACGACAAATAATTCCCTTCTAGAGAATTTTTAATTTCATTTATTGTGTTGTTCATCACTGTTTGTTTGCTCTTTAGTTATTCTAGGTCCTTGTTAAATGTTTCTTATATTTTCTCCATTCTATTTCTAAGATTTTGGGTCATCTTTACTATCATTATTCTGAATTCTTTTTCAGGTAAATTGACTATTTCCTCTTCATTTGTTAGGTCTGGTGGGTTTTTACCTTGCTCCTTCATCTGCTGTGTGTTTCTCTGTCTTCTCATTTTGCTTAACTTACTGTGTTTGGGGTCTCTTTCCCAGGCTGCAGGTTCGTATTTCCCATTGTGTTTGGTATCTGTCCCCAGTGGCTAAGGTTGGTTCAGTGGGTTGTGTAGGCTTCCTGATGGAGGGGACGAGTGCCTGTGTTCTGGTGGATGAGGCTGGATCTTGTCTTTCTGGTGGGAAGGTCCATGTCTGGTGGTGTGTTTTGGGGTGTCTGTGGCCTTATTATGACTTTAGGCAGCCTCTCAGCTAATGGGTGGGGTTGTGTTCCTGTCTTGCTAGTTGTTTGGCATAGGGTGTCCAGCACTGTAGCTTGCTGGTCGTTGAGTGGAGCTGGGTTTTGGCGTTGAGATGGAGATCTCTGGGAGATTTTCGCAGTTTGATATTACGTGGAGCTGGGACGTCTTTTGTGGACCAATGTCCTGAACTTGGCTCTCACACCTCAGTGGCACAGCCCTGACATCTGGCTGGAGCACCATGAGCCTGTCATCCACACGGCCAGGTACGTGGGGAGTTTCTTGCCTTTTGGGAGGTCTGAGGTCTTCTGCCAGTGTTCAGTAGGTGTTCTTTAGGAGTTGTTCCACATGTAGATGTATTTCTGATGTATTTGTGGGGAGGAGGGTGATCTCCATGTCTTACTCTTCCCCTATGTTGAAGCTCCTCCCTCAGCAGAATTTGTTGAGCTTGTAGATTGATTTGGGGACTGTTGCCATCTTAACAATATTAAGCCATCATCACTCTGATGCAAAACTCGTCAACAAAATATTAGCAAACCAAAGTCAACAGTATGTTAAAAGGATAATACACCATGATCAAGTGGACTTGTTCCAGGGAGGCAAGAATGGTTTCACATTGGCAAATGAATCAACGTGATACACCACATTAACAAAATGAAGAATAAAAATCATATTATCATCTCAATAGATGCAGAAAAAGCATTTGGCAAAATTCAGCATCCGCTTGTGATAAAAAAAAAACCTCTCAACAAAGTAAGTATAGAGGGAATGTACTGCAAAATA